ACGGTTAGGAGCCCGTAAAACAATTTGCTCCCCAGGGAGCGGTGCCAAAATTTTTTCGCAGCTTAATTCTCCTGTGGCGACTTAAACTGACTAAAAGGCTACTGTATATTCTTAGTAGTTAGCTCTATGATAGTAGTTAAGGAGAATGATTATTGGTCGAGGTTAGGTTGGAACATCAGGGTTGGAAAAATTGAGTCTGGTAAGAAGTGATGTTAGTTGAGATAATTATTCTTAGGTATTGAATTTTAATTTTGTTGATATTTTAGATATCGCAGTGTTTAGGTTTCAGTTCTTGTCTCCCATCTTTCTATTCTTAATTCTATTCTTTCTGCCTTGAATTTCTTACTCCGGATTCAAAAACCAATCGCAATAAATTTCCCAATAATCGAAAGCTTTGCGACCTGCCAAGAGCCAGGAATACCTCCCAGAGAACGTCTATAATTCTCCATTCACGTTCGACCTTCGTAAATCCATCAAAAGCGATGCACTCCACTTTCTCCAGCGTCTCCAGAAGGACGAAAATTCTCAAGCAGTGCAGATTCCTGAAAGTCGAGCATGCGGCGTGGCAAAGTCGCAAACGAGAGGAATACCAACGAGTGACTCAGTCCGAGGCTGACTCTCTGAGCTATAAAGGGATCATCCGAAATAAAAATTAGGTCCACGGCGATTCTCACAACAATACAAGAGCGGCGATCGCGGCGTGGTCTAGCCCGCGATAAATCAACTGAATTAGACGGCTCCTTAAACGGTGACTAATCGTCGCGTATACGAGAGTCCTACACGCGAACCAAGGCAGATGTGCAACGCGGTTTACATCATCGAGCGACACGCGAGCTAAAACGATCGACTTTTCCGCGCCAGACTGGCAGACGCGCCCCGGTTAATTGCAAAGCGACGTTTTCCGCGACTTGTCTGGTGTAATTGTACCGCGACTACCCGGGTGCTCCTTCGCCGCCTTTTCGCGTTAATTGCTGAGTAACAGACTCTGGCTTAACCCAATTCTCGCGAGGCGTGTTAATGCTCGCAGGACTTTATTTAAAGAACGCCGTCAATGATCTCTGAGAGGCGTGCGCATTTATTTATGGACGCTTATGGGAATTGTCTTGGCTCGTTGTAGGGTTTTATTTAGAATTAATCTACTTCGGAATTACTCTGTAATTTATGAGCCACGCAGGGGTCTTCAAAATTTATTATTTTTATTTTTTGATAAACATTTCGACAGGTCGCAAAGCCTTTAGTTATTTCAAATTCATCCCTACTAGCTTTCTAATTTATATAAGTTTTGGAACAACTTACTTAGATCAAATTATACTCGAGATGTTTTCAACAGAAAGAGACAACTAACTTCTAAACAAAACCTACACAAATAATACTCAAAAAGCTTCAAACCTGCCCACTTAAAGATTATTTTCAACCCTCGTCAAAGAAATCTCAAAGCTCGCCTCCAGATTGTCCCTCCATTCAAGTCGATGCGTGTAATTTATCAACCGTCCGTCTTATCCGCCACACGCAAGCTTCGCACGGGGAAAAAACAGTGGAATAGAATCCTCCGTGTCGCATAAATTACGTTCGCCGGTCTCCGTGGAAGCTCCGTCTCAAGAAGCTCGTCCGTTTTAATCTGTTTCCCCGGGGCGGACCTCTCCGAGAGGTGTTTTGCAGCGGCGAATCGCGCGGCCAGAGGTTTTATAGTCACCCACGTCGCAGACGTGGCGTTATTATCGTCGTATATTCTCACATTACGGTCCACGCGACACGTCGTGGCCACGCAGATGCTCGCCGAGAAAGAAAAGCCTCCGCGAGAGAGCTTCCTCCGAGTCGCACGAAAACGCGCGCCACGGGACCCAGCTGCGCTCTCTCCCACGCTCGACAAAAGTCTACGTAACGCAGCTGTACGCCGCGTAGCCGAAACTTATTTACGGCTTGAAAGAGGCTTCTTCATTTTTTTCGCCCCCATCGTCGGAAGGAGGTGGCGGAAAAAGCGCGAGGAGGACTCCGTTTGAAATTCGACCCGATCCACCTGTGCTTTTCGGGCTTGACGAGCTTTGATACTTTGGACTTTGTAGCGATACGTAGCATTCGGGGTTAGAGGGTTGATTACTGTGTAAACTTACGTTTACTTGAGGGATGAGGGAAATTAATTATGTATGTTTATTAGGTATTCGTGAAATTTAAATTATCTGGTGAGCTCCTCTATGATTCTTCTGACATAGTCAAACATAAGACTGCGCCAGAAAAGTAATAAAAGCCCCACTAAAACGTGAGTGTAAACAAACTACGTAATAATACAACTACTCTTATACATCCTCGCTCTTCACACCGGATTTTATACGACCCTTAAAAAAATACATTTAATCGTAAAAAGGAACATTCTAAACGCGTCCCTCCATTCGGTTCGTCTTTCTGTTGACAGCTAGAGTACGAATACTTATGAGAACGCAAATGGCGCCGGCAGGCCGTTCCGCGAAATTAAATTCCTCTTTTTGACGGGGACACTCGCTTTTCCAGATTTCTTTCAGCGTAGACGGTTTGAAAATATCGCGCGTGATCATTTCTTGATTGTCGTCGCGCTTATATGGAACGCGGGCTGTTTCAAGTGAAATATAATTGATGTTTCCTGCCGCGTATGTTTGCGTACGTGGAATGCAACAGGGACTGAATATTTAACCATGCAATTACAAATAATGCAAACACAACAATACCATGCACGGCGCAGATAATGGGTACCAGGGGGATACTGATCGATCGGGGTATTATTATAATGTGTTTTAACGCGATTCCAACAACGCGATTATGTGGATCGGTTTTGGGGAAACATTTGGGTGTTTATTTACTGGAAATCGATGCACGTGGTAAGTGCACACGCATATAAGGAAATTAAAGGGAATTAACTTGGAGTATCTAAGTAGTATCTAAGTAGTATACAAATAAAGATTTTCATCTTTTTTCATGGAAGATATGTACATTTTATGTACAATTAGTCTCACTTTACTGGAAATTTAAAAGTTTTGAAATTATGAAATAATGATTGTTGAGCCTCCGTCGTCTCAAGCTCAAGGCAAGGTAGCAGGCTACAGGATTTATTCACAACAAGGCTGGTACGTTAAGTAACTCTCAGAGAATCTCGTTTCCCGATCCCATCAAAGTTGGAACGTAAGAGACATGATTTAATGCGTCTAGCGACACGATGCTGTAACTTGTTAATCCGATGAGTTCCACGTGGCATATTCACTGCAAACGCAACAAATCCGCCTTTATTAAGTATCGTGCAATCACATGGGGAAACAAACCATCGTTCACCTGTTTTTTTTTTTTTTTTTGACAATTTAACATAGTTCAGATTCGTCACCGCATCATTCCACTCGATTCCCTCATCAAAGAAAAACAACCAAATCACATCCTTATCGCCGGTCACCTAATTCAAATTCCACGAGCGAAAATTCGCCAAGAAATATCGCACGGAGAATGTGTACCCAGTCCAGTTGACCCAGAAAGAGAACGTTAAGATTAATATCCAAGCAAATGGAGCGACAATCGTGCGATCTTGGGGAAATCTGTTCCCTCTCTCTTCATCTTTAAACGAGAATCCATATAACATTTCAATGGTAGGCTCCTTCTGGCGCGAATCCAAAGCAGTTTGCATACGTTGGTTGTAAAACGCGACGGGCTTCCAAATAAAATTATTGGCCACCGACTTTTTGTTCCTCGAGCCAGCCACTGACATAGTTTAAGAGAGTTCACAATTCTAGAATTTTAAATGGATATTTAAATGCATATTTTAATCGAAGGAATTCTTTTTTCGATGAAAACTTGATGCTTTATTAAATAAAAGCGATAATTTGAAATCCAAAGATATGAAATTTCGAAATATCCTTCGACTATTCATCATAGTCCACAACCTCATGGAAGATGACTGGCGACGTCCCTCTTGTTAGCTTTCCCCCATCGATCAACGATCCTCGGTATCGGAGGACCAAAAATGTTAATGGTTAAAGTCCGAGTAAAGGTGGATGGGTACATTGTCGCAGAACTTGCGCCTCGTATCCAGTTGCTCCAGATTATTGGTCTTCCAAGGAAGTTGTCGGAGTTGTTGGTAGTCGGCTCGAAACTTGTCCTCGTTGGTTGAGTTAACCCCGCGGGACAATTTGGAAAGTTTCCCCGATCGAAGTGAATCTCGAGCCGATAAATAGCAGTGATAAATGAATTCCAGGGTAGCTCGTTCATTTTTCACCAGACATTATTAAATTTCTTGTCGATCCTGCATCTGAGTGCAGCCTTCTATTTACCTGGAGGCTGGATCCGAACGCGTCGCGGGCAATCCTCGATATCGAGGAAAGTGGAACAGGTCGACGTGACAGGAGCGAGTAGGTTACGTTTCCCAAATGAAACGATGCAACGGAATTGGAAATTATACCGATTGTGCCTATTTCCTCTTTTATGACAGAGTTAACCCTTTGAACTCGAGGTCTTTCTTCTGGTGTCTACTCGATACTCAATTTCCAATAATATTATAAAGAAGTGAAAAAACTTCACAATTTTTATTACCACCCACGTTATCATCTACCAAAAAATTCCTCCCCAATTGGAAAACTTACCCCACTAAGTAGGTAACCTGTCACCAGTTATTCGAAACATTCACCAGGATGAGAATGTTGCCATAAAGCTGTCGAAAATACACTCGAGAACGATAACGTAATTCACGGTTTCACCCCTGTCGCGGTGGCGCCGTTCATCACGGCTAAAAGCCTATACCTTATCGAGCCCGGCCGATAAGGGGATCACGCCTACGCTGTTCCCCTCCGCGAAGGTCACCCATGCTCCCATTGCAACCTGCACAGGTATACCGCGAGGTGAATAAAAGGCCACTTACCGTGAAACCTTCCTCGAGCGTTCCCACGGCGAACCGTGCATCCTTTTTCGCGACTCGGGGGTACAGCCTCGAGAATACCTCTTGCCACTCACGTGACGTCTGCCATAAATTCGTGTGTCTCGGTTTGTTGCAGCATCATATAAAATTGAGGCACGAGAGACACCGCAGACAACATGGAGAGAGCTATCTGCCCAGCAGCTTCGTGCTCGACACCGAGGAGCCTGAACGTGGAACCTGGGGGCCATGGTCGTCGCCCAGCTCGTGCTCCAGATCCTGCGGAGGGGGTGTCGCCCATCAGACCAGACAGTGTCTCGACATAGAGTGAGTTGCATTGCTTTTTCGGGATACTTTACTTGGGGGAATGAAGAGAATTGAATGAAATTCAGAGGCAGGATATTCGAAATTGTATCTCGAATAATAATAGAGTTGTATTTAATTTCGTGCCCACTCGGAAGTGTTGCATTAATATTAATTAGAAGATAGGTCTGCAAGGAGGAGCTTGAGGTTCCCAACGATGCGGAAAACTCTCCCGGAGGGCCGGAGTAATGGAAAATTAATTTTTTACTCCATCATTTCCCCGCGAAGATGAGTTTCCTTAAATTCAATCCGACCCTGGCGAGGTTTCCACGCTTCGAGGACTTTCCTTGCGGGATTTTTGACGAGCCGACAGAACTTCCAACGGAATCGCGGTAAATCCTCCTTATCTAGCGGTCGGGGCCAAGATTAATCATGACTACTTATGCGCTTTTCGCCGCGGAACGGTATCTTGGGAAATTTTCACGTGGCCCAGTTGTAACAGGACAGCCGTCCATTTCAATTTTGTAGTGAAACACTCCCCGTAGCAATTATTAATGAATGGATTTCCAAGCATTTTATTAAACGGTGTTCTAAGATTGTAGAATTTGTAGAATTGTAGGAATTGTAGGATTTTTTGGAAGATATTAATTAATCGGAATCAAAAAGTGTCGAAAATTGGCCTATTTCTTTTAAGTGAAGGAAAGTCCTTGCGACATAAATTTTTAAGAAAATACACGAGATAATAGATTAAATCCCTTCGAAGGAGATCTCCTAAAGATCGGCTTTTACGAGTTACGTAAAACGGGAAAGGAGGAAAATCGGATTGATCGGCGATCGTACGAAGGAATCGGATAGCGAAACCGAGAGTAAGCACCGATCGCTAATAACACGTTCTCCAGGATCGAGAAAGCGGGCTAATCGGCTCGCGAAGGCGTTTAACAGGAGAAATAATTTCGTGGTATCGAGCGTACCGGTGTCACAGGTCAGACACGCTCGATCGCGTAGATGCGCGCCGATCGTGTGCAGCGTTTACAAGTATTTTCAATTTACAATATCGAAACGCAACATTCGAGCTCGCAGGGTCAGGAAAATAATTCCTCCTGAGTGTGTTATTAGACTAATAATTTTTATTTAAATAAAAATCTCACATACGTTATCAGATTATATGATGAGGAATGTAGAATAGACTATACTATATTTTTATATGCATTTCACTATGAATACAGACGTTATAGGCAAAAATTGTAGACCCCAAGCCCTTTTGACATTCAATCCAATTCTATTGTAACCTCATCTAACCGAATAATCGAAAGGTAAATACAGAAAACGATAGAAATACCATCGCGCTAATGCGTAACCCAGGTTGCCATAAATTTCCACATGAAAATTTCATCGGAAAGGAGGTTGCACGTGACGCGTAAATGTAATTTCACCGAAAGGTCTCGCAAATTATTGAGAAACCGAGACGAATCGCGCGCTTTTCCTGGAGTTTTTCCATCGCGGAGCCACTCGTTTACGGGATGGAAAAAAATTGGTTGCTCCACTTTTCCTTGGAATTTTCTCGAAAGAAACTCGTTAACGAGGAAGCACGGCCGATACGCGATTTAACGGAGTGTGAATTCCTGATTAGAGATACGAATGGTCGCGTTTTAGCCACGTGATGGCGGACCTACGCGCGCGTAATCGAGATTACGATCGATCGAGGAATACTCGCGCCAAGCTGATAAGTCGAGGTTCGATTATTCGAACATTTTGTTCACTTGGCAAGAACTATAAATTTCAGAGTTCTAATAGATGAGGAGAATATTGTTGATTATTTTGTGGAATTATAATAAATGAGTCACCATTTAGGCGGATCTCTGAAATTATTGATGTTACCGAGTGAACAGGCATAGCAAGAATCTAAGAACTGTAGCATTCAGCTGTTATTTCAAGATTTGCATTGTTCCTTGAAAATGTTATTTCATACAAGGCATCTTGCTTGTAGAGCCCATGGACTCTTATTGTCTCATTGACCCCCACGCTTTAAAGGATCCCAGTTCAATCTGTATAAAAATGTTTTATTGTTGCAGCGACAATGGCTACAACAGGTGTACCGGTGCATCCAAGCGATTCTTCTCCTGTAACATCCAGGTGAGTCTATGAAACATTGCCATAACAGACGTCAGAAAAATTCCGCGATTATAATTAGTCGGAGGAACGAGTTCTTCTTGTATTCAATCCCTTTAGGACGGTGAACATTATTCTCTATTTTCTTTGTTTCGTTGCGAGTACAATGAAATTTTCAAAAAGAAAAATTTAACAATATTGTAGAATAATTTCCAATATTGTCATCCTATGGTTAAAGAAAAATTCACGGAAGAAAAGTCTCAGTTACTATTATTAATCTATTTCGTTTGAAACCGGTATATATCAGAAACAATGCAGCGAGTTGTAATAGAGTTCTACAATGGAGAATTCGTATCACACTCGGAATATTTTAAGGCGACAATGGTCAACGCTCGGCGAACGTTCCTCTGTTTTCACAAAGCAAGAGGACACCCGAAAATCCAACCCGTGGAAACGATGGCGCCGCACACGTGAATCGAATCCGCACCAGAACTTGATTAATTGCCGTGTAACAGTGGGTGATTTATGCGATTTGCTTTAATAGATCGAACAGCTTGACAGTCTATCAAGAGGCGTCGAGCCATCGACGCGTGACGTGGGCTTCAATTATTCACATCTGCACGCGTACTCGAATCAATGAATCGAATCCGGTAGTTCTGCCATCCAGTTCGCTTTGTATTTCCGTCTGTGAGCATCTTCAGCAGCTGGCAGTCTCGTTCCACTTGATTTTAAATCGAAATTGCGTCGTTTAGGTTCATATCTACCTTTCTGAGTCGAGAAAAGATATTTAAAAGATACTCCAAAAATATGTCTGTGCTTCTAAACAAATTAGAAATGAATCCTGAAACATTTCTAATTTTTAAATATGTTTCACCCTTTCTAAGAAAAAAAAATTTTCAGGAGTGGTTGTATAGTATTTTTCATTCTACACAAAATAGTGGATGCTGGATGAAAATATTCCACGAAGAGCAACTGAAAATTGAACTCCCCAATCGAATAAATTGCCGTGCACCTTGTATTCATTCGTCATCAATTGCTCCAGCAAAGCTGTGCCCATTTCTCTCGTCGCGTTCAAACCACCACAGAAACAAATTTACACTCTGTTGTGCTCGTCCCTAACCTTTGAATATGTCGGTCAATTTCCCCCAAGCGCGGTTCGATGGTCTTTAATAAAATGATTTATATCATTATTTAATTCAGTTCGTTAAATGTCAGCCGCAGTCTCATTGAACTCTGAATCGCTATGGTCTCGAGGATCCCTATCGTTTACGCGTGGCTCGGGCGGAACAACTTTTGTTTCTTTATCGGGGCGTCTTTCGCTCCTTCCACTCTTTAACTCCAATCGATCCGACATTACTCTTCGCGCCGAGTCCCGTCAAACTTCCATTTAAAACCACTTAATCAACGCGATGCTGGTAATCTCGTTCCGTGGCTCAGGTGATCTTGACAAATTGATTCGATGATCGATTAATACGACGATCCTCCCAACTACAGTGTAGAAGTTTCTTCGAGGAAAATGGATTTTCAATTCTTGCGTGTTCTTAGAGGCGAAGTGAAAGATTGGGAGTCGATTCGAAATTTTTTCAAGTCCTGGGATTGGTGTTTAGAGTAACACTGTTAAAATAACAATTTTGATACAAATCTATTCATGTAAATTTTACTCTCCTGATGAGAACCTGATAAACCCAAGGTGGAAACGTCGAAATAATTTTCATTCAAGAAATTCTGAAGACTATGACCATGTCGCGATGATCGAAGTTTGTTTAGAATCGGTTTCACCTCTGGCCTAAACCAGGCATGGTGCTCTAGCCTATATCTACCTGGACATACCATTTTACAGCGTCCCCGTGACCTCGTAAACCCCATCCGCTTCGAACACAACAGCGGGCAATGTTCCAGGAACCGGTTGCTTGTCAGAGCCCGTTTAACCCTTTGTTTCGTCCGATTATTAATCGGCGGTTCCACTTTATTTCTACGGCATCAGTCCGTTGGGTCTAAATGTGTCACCGACAGAACCATCCCCGTTTGTTCACCCTTTTTAACTTGCGTTCTTCGCGCCGCGGAGAAAGTCTCTTAGTTCGAGATACATTGATGGCGGAAATGAGAAATACTAGGCGGAAGTGAAATTTTGGTGTCGCGCGACATTGATTCGTGGGGAATAATTTAGGTTCTCCAAAATATTGTTTAGAACGAAACAATATCCTGATCTCAGTTAGTAGAATGATCCTGTATAGCTTATGCACACTCCTTCAGGTTCATGGATATAGACAACGAAGCCTCCCCCCATGATATTCAATGTTCCTTCGTTGATCGACGTCGTTGACCTTCTTTGAAATACAACTGGGGGATTAAAAGTTTACAGCGTGCAGTAAAGATCCTCTCCCGAGGGGCCTCCACTAAATCCCGCTCGAGGATACTCGGGGGTGTGCTTCGGAACAATGCTGAAGTTAAAACCGCAGGAATCTCGAGACGACAGTCGTATACACGCTTGACGTGTACAGGGTGATTCAAAAGTGATGTCTGAACCGAGTAGAAAAAATAGTTCAAGTAAATCTACCGTTAATCACAGTGTTTTTCGAAGATAGTAGAATTATACTAATAAATGTCCCCTCTTGTCGCGTGTTTACTTCGTGTAAACCTTTTTTCTTCGAGCAGTAATGGTACCAATCAATTTTGAGACACCCTTTCTGGAACACCCTGTGAATGCTTGGATCGAAGAAAGATCGTCAGCTGCAGGAATTAGGAATGTTTCCCTTCCAGCAAATCCACATTAGATTCACGGTGGACGTCACCCTGTAATTATTATAGCACAATCCTTTTTTCATTAAATGATTAAGGAATAAATTGAAAATTATTTCTATTTAAAATTGAATAAATATTCATTCAGCAGAAATATGGCTCCAAAATATTTAATAAACTCCGCTTGTTTCGTATAACAAGACTCTCTTCCCTGTATATTCGTACATACCACCATCGTTACAGAAAGAATTAAAGTATCCGATACTTAAAAATTCCCCGCATTCTATCAGGCCAGACATTTAATAAAAATGTTACCATATCGATTAGATTGCACACTCCTTTCATCCTCCAAATTCCTTCCAGTGTCCCGAATCGTTGGGAACCATCCCTTAATTGATTCATGTGATTGCACCCTCACAAAGCTCGTCCTTCGTTCCGAAAACAACATTTCTACGTTTGAAAAACAGATTGTTTTCGGGATTGTTCGATATTAGAAATTAATTCGCGAGGCACACGGTTCAAGGAATCCCATCTTCGTCCCCCTACCATAATCGAAGCCGCGTCGCATCAATTTTCGCCCGGTACACCGACTCTATCAATCGAACCGCCGACCCCTCGGGCTTTAATTTAATTTTCCCGAGTCACGAACATTCGATCTACCCCACGTAGACGTAGAACTACTTCCAGAACAGAACCACTTCCTTTGGGGGTGCTCTCGCTATTTCTTCATAAGAGCGCAGCCACCGGTGAAAATGTATTTCTGAAAGTCACGTAGCCGCCGTAAAATTATTTCAGCGATATCCAGGACCTTCGCGACGTTTCGAATCACTTTTCTGGTGAATCGTTCTAATTAAATAATCCCTGTGAGTTTTGACACATCCTCGCTATTGCTCCCGAGGACTGTCGAGACTTGGGAGTAGTGGAAACGGAATATTCATGGAAGTCGGGGTAGTCAGGTCGCATTTACCTCACCGACAATCATTTTATATACGAAACTTCGAGTTCTAAAGAAACGATACCTAATCAAGGATTCATTTTGGAAGAATTTGGTTGTCTAATTCTCTTGAATAATTACAAGAAAAATGTTTAAAGTTCTTTCAACGATTATTCGAGGGCAGATCGCTTATCGATGTGAAAGCTCGTTACGTGGCAAAAGGACCATCGAAAATCCTGCGCAGCTCGGCGGTCCTTTAATGGTCCTCGAAGGCAACAATATAGCCCGCGCGCGACGCTGCAGCGGTGCACTGTCGGAGATGCTAAAATTTATGAACGCTTGGCCATTATGCGGCATCGATTCGCGAAGTATTAAATTCGTTAGAGGGACGTGCTAAATGAAATGGCCCCTGCTCGTGTTATGGTCCCATCGATATCGATTTCTGATCCAATGCACTCATCGAAGTCAATTTCATTAATTCTTTCTAAATATGATACAACTAGACATTCCAGTCTACCTACGAAACCCTTGTTTTTTGTGTAACATTGCAAATTTATAGGGTGCATGTGTTATTTAGGAAAAAGCTCAGTTTAAGATAAACATTAATTTCACCCCACGTATTTATCATTCCTATCCCCTGTCTGAGCACCTCACACAAAGACACGTCTTCCCGACTTATTTATTAAAAACAAGCATTTAAACATCTTATTACGAAAAGCATACTTTTACAGACTACCAAACAAGAGGTCCATTTAAATATTAACTGCAGCACTCAACTTTTCCGAAGAAGAAATCCTTAAGAATTCTTCCGTCCAAATGAAGCATGAAAACGATGAATAGCGAGCTAAGGAGCAGGACTTCGCGAAGAACCCGCACTCAGCTTTCAGTCCCGAAAGGGGCGACGGTACACGTCGACAATATAATATCGCGACGTCCGTTTGTCAAGAATATTCCGTCAGGTTGAACGACCGAGTCCCAGCCGCCACTTTAGAATCAAACGAGGCGATCCATTTCAGCCGCGAATTGCACGCCGTTGCAAAAATTCCGTCGAACGCGGCTCATTGTTCCCGGCGCCTTTGTTTCGAGATTTCGTAATTAGTAACAATGCCTGTCGGCTAAACAGAGATTATTGAACGGTGAAAACTCTCGAGGGACTTCGGTTCCACTGGCGGGATGAAACTATGGAGGAGTAGCCAGAAGCTACAGACGGAAACGGGCGGGAGATCGATGGGGGAGGTTGAGGAAGGCGGATTTCTTTAACGAGGCTGAGACCCGTTAATTACGAGTCACCGTAATTGCGGGGAACTCGGTGCGTGTTTATGGAGGCTCGTTGATTTCCGCATTTTTAGTAACCTCACCCTCTCACCCTCTGCTGAACGTGCTAGGCCTGGGGAGGGGGGGTTGCAGAGATCCTACTTAGGATGCTACGTGGATACTGATTCGGGGAGTATACTGGGTGTTTCGTGGCTTCTAGTAGATTCAGAGGGGAATTTAGGGGACACTTCCTCGATTGAAATAAATATTTAAAGGAAATTACGAATGTATTAATGAATATTAAATTGTCCCAAAATTGTCACAATAAATTCGCCCGCGATTTATCTCTGCAAACTCGGATCTTGAATGAAAAATTATGAATATAAATCATCGCCCTTCTCCGTTTCAGCAGTTTTCCGTCTTTCTCGAATCGATCCTCCTCAATCTTCATTCTCCCCAAAGTTCCTCCCATTCACCCGGACAAATCAACCACACTTCCATCAAAAACCCGCGAACAACGGGCCAGCGCTGCAACGTTGCCGGAGATATCTCGTGACCCCGAACCCGATACCCAGTGAACCATCGATTTGAATAAGCGTCAAGGTCAATCGCGGGGCTCGCTAACCCGGTAGAAAAGCGGTCCACCGTAAATCACGCGGGTCCAACAACGTCCCACCTCGCCCTCCTCCCCAGAAGCGTCGTTTCGGTGGTTGAGCGCGAATATTTTTTTCTCTTTTGCGGTCAGCAAACAGCCCCGTTTCCCTTTTGGCCTGGGCTAACCCCTCTGACCGTGTGTCCACGCAAGAAATCTTACGTCATAAATCCTGCTGGCGTATCCTCGCGCGTGGTACCGGTCCCCCTGGGAGATGAGTCCTCCTTTTGTAACCCTGCTCGATTTATCGACATTACCTGCACACACACACACACGCGCGCGCGCGCGCGCGCCCGCGCTCCCCCCTATCCGTCGCATGTTCGCCATAGTGGCTTGTCTGGTCGGAAAGAGGCAGGAAAAAATCAATTTTAGGGGTGGGTGGTATAGGAAAATAGGAACAACCCCAAGAGCCTCCCTTAAGAATCACAGAGTTGTTATAATTTTTCATCCCCTTTTGTAACAGTTCGTTATCTATTTTCACGAAATTCTCGAGTCATTAAATTTCATCCACGTGATTTCTGGTATCCGCCATGCTAGGAATAACGTGGCAACGATATTTGCTCTGGTATCGTGTTAAGGGATGAATTTGGCTCGAGTGATATCACCGGAGGTATCGGCACGGTGTTTGCTTGTTTGGCCGTCGGGTCGATGCGAGGGAAATTACGTTCCTCTGCTGTGTTGTTTCGGCTAACAGATGGGGACGAGGTTTGATTAATTGAGCGCAAAGGATCCCTCTTATTATTCGGCTCTTGTCGCGGAGCTTGTTAACCCTTTTTACGATCCGGGGATTCTTCTCCGATTCGGAGCAGGTAGAGTTGTTTCGGGGGGGGGAATACCCAATGTACCTTCTTCTTCGATGGTCCGATAACTTGCCTGTCGAGGTAGAAATACAGAATGAATCACGTAACTACTTTATACTTATTTATTTATGTTATGTTTGTCAGTTGATCAGTGTCACTTTCTTGTTGATATTTGTCGTGACATGGAATTTTATGTAAGAATACATTGATAGTGGTTGCCTAAGTTGATAAATATATTTGCATGGAGCTGTAGTATTCATTGTTCGTGTTGGATAAAGTAGAAAACATGATCACTGAATAATCAGACATGTTAAATCTGGAAGATTAATTACGTTACTTGCAGACAATCATAAAACAGTCGCACGAGTATCACAGGAGAATAAGATCATCACAAACATTACAAACCACCACAAGATAATCATAAAGTAACCACTGTCCAACTCAGAGTTCCTAAAAATAAACGACCACCTATAGAAATAAATCCAGGGACCATTTAATACCAAAATCTATCCCAAATGAAAACTAACGGCGCGATCGCGATCTATCGAGCACGCGCGTGATATCCAGTGGCGCATCTCGGATGTTCTCCCAGATGAGATCACCTCGCGCCCATTCGGTGCCGTGACGGAACACGTTTTCCAATCTCCGTCGATGTGTCTCTCTGGTGCACATAATTCTTCATGAATGAGGGCCCCACCTCTCGGTCACAATTTATTTCCGACCGGCGAAGGAATACGTGTGGCGAAATGCATTCGCGCGTACAAGAGGGGCGAGAAAGAAAAGCACGCGATACGGGCCACTCGCGGACGCAAACGCGCAAGCTTTCAGAAAAGCTTCAGGTTTTTTCTGGCCACGTGGAGTTCGTTCGCGACCCAGTAATTAGCGTCGAGACCCACGCTCCAGTTTAGACGCGACGTTTGCGTTGCCATGTCTTGTTGCTCTATTAAGGAATCGTAAATTTTAATTCTCCTTTTACATATTACATGATTATCATGTATTTTTGCTTATTAATTTTTGGACCAATATTTCAATATTTCATCTTGTACATGTGTGTTAGTAATTTCTCCTGAAGTGGACTCAAATACTGAGTCGACAGTGGGTTGTTAAATTTGATTTTTTAATTGCACTTTTTCTGCCACGTTCCCTAGCTGAAATTGAGTTCATTGAAACTCCACATGCGTATAAATTAATGTGTATTGTTAATGGTTCGCTGCCACCTCCTTTCTCCTTTGATTAAAATTTAAACTCGACAATCAATTTATTATTGAACACTAGAAGTAACTAGTCTCCCATCACCTTTATAATTACACTTCACTTTTAAAGCCCCACCTACTCTATAAGCACGTTAAAAATGAAAAATCAAGATACAAGTGTCAAAGGATCCTTCGGCTACTTGGGATGAGAATAATAGGACCTTGTATAAGTGACTCTCAATGGAAATGTCAAGCACTCCAAGCGTCCTTTAATTTCATAATGGAACCTGCGCCCTTTGAGGGTGTTACGACAACTGTCGAAACTTCCTTAACTAACTTAACGCCCTCTTTACTTCTTCTTTGTCCAGGAGTGTCCCGAGGACGCGAAGGATTTCAGGGCGGAGCAGTGCGCCGAATTCAACAGAGTTCCGTTCGAGGAAGTTTATTATGAGTGAGTATCGAAAATGGTTTCTGCGACGTAGCTCTGTCTGCGAAAATCCCAACGGAGTTCTCAGACACGCCGTAAATGTGATTTATCGTCATACTCGACGGATAGTCGTGGCTCGTTCGGCTCTTCGACGAGACCTAATGGTCGTTGATAGTTTGAGAAACGTTGGACATTTCGATTCGTTTCGAAGCTTCGAATCTGCAAATGCATTTGTTTACATTTGTAGCGAACAGTTTTCGAACAGTTGAAGGAAATTCGTGGAAAGTTAGAAATGCATTTATTTATATTTATGTGGTGGAAATGGGTGGAAGCGAATCGTGTTTATTCTTGAAAACTTTTAGTCGCAATTATTTCATAATTTAGGTGTAAGGGTTTGCCGAGGGCTTGAACTAAATTATTTCTTGTGAAATGTGAGGAAAATTGCTCGGAAAGCGAAACGGGGTGATATTATAGAATTGACCTACTTTCATATTCCAAGGCCATTTTCGTTTTTAACTTCCGCGAAGGAGTACGTATAGGTAATCGACCAAACATGCGTTCGATTAGAGGTCGAGAATTTTCCCCTATGACTAACGACGAAAGAAATCGTTCCATTGGCGATAACGATTATCGGATCGCCGCGTCGTCTCGCGGTGAAATTAATCGCGCAAAATCGTTTACTCCCCCGCAGTTGGATCCCTTACACTGGTGGACCGAACAAATGTGAATTGAACTGCATGCCGCGCGGTGAGCGTTTCTTCTACAGGCACAGGCTGGCTGTGACCGACGGCACACCGTGCGAACCCGAGAAAAACGACGTTTGCGTCGAAGGGAAGTGTATGGTGAGTTAACAATTTCTTATATGTTATGGCGGAACTGGATTGTGCAACATCCGACTGCCTTTGCAACTAGAACATCTATAGCTACTTGTAGTTCCAGTCCTTGTGTAGATACGATTTGTGATAAAAAGCGTTTTGCGACTATAGTAAAGTATATCGCGATATCTTTGATTGCCAGCACGTTGGTTGCGACATGATGCTTGGAAGCGATCTTCAGGAAGACGCTTGCAGAGAGTGCGGTGGCAACTCCAGCGATTGCAACACCGTCTCCGGTTTGTTCGACAACGACGATCTCCAGTCTGGTACGTTGTCGATTCTTGAATGACAAATGAACAAGTACCAATTTGTATAAATCCTAGTCAAATTCCTTTCTTCTCCAACATAACAACAAACAAATCGCACTTACTCTGTTATAATTGTTCTAACGCTTCGCATAAATCTTCCACAGGTTACATCGACATCTTGCTGATTCCCAAGGGAGCAACGAACATACTGGTGAAGGAGATTCAACCATCAAACAATTACTTAGGTCAGTGAATCCAAATATCGAGGAAGTGCCAAGTTGCTCGCTTCGTTGTTACGGAATCGGAAACTAACCAAGCGCTGTCGGTATTTTAATCCCGTTTTATTCTCGCAGCCGTTAGAAACACGTCTGGCCATTACTACCTGAACGGGAACTGGAGGATAGACTTTCCACGAAGCCTGAAATTCGCTGGAACCATATTCCATTATTCCAGAGATCCGCAAGGTTTCTCGGCACCCGATACCATTACCGCCTTAGGGCCAACGCACGAAGCGATCTACGTGGTGGTAAGCATAATTAGTTTCTCACATTTTAACTAAAAACTGTAGGACGACGTTGATTTTGTATACCTTTTGTATTATCGTATTATTTAACGAAGATTGCTGAAAGATTTGGATTACGGTCCAAAGCGCTGCGCTGATTATTAAGCTTGCTGGGATGAATATTTATATTTTTTCCTGCTAGCAAACGATTATCCTAATGGTTGTTTTAATAGAAGTGAAATAACGAGTACGGAATATGGGGTACATCTGCCGTGGATTTTCAAAATCTGCTATGAATTTTTATTTTTATTTCCATTTGTATATTACTTCTTTATTTATCCAATCACTCTATTCAAGATATTTCTAAATTGTGTCTCCTGGAACGCATTTCCTAATGAATTCAACAGAGCGAAAATCAATATTTACGAAAATGTCGACGTCAGGGAACGTCGAGAATAACTCGCATATTTGTTTCCCTCAGCTACTCTATCAGGGTCACAATGTGGGTGTGCAGTACGAGTACAGTATGCCAAAGAAATTTTCGCAGCAAGCGGACGCGGACAGCTACACCTGGATAACCGACGAATTTTCAAGCTGCAGCTCGAGTTGCGGCGGAGGTAGCGTTTCCAAAATTAATCTCGTTACCTAAATACATGGCAAATGTGATTAATAAACGGATAAGCCGCGCTGCGCTGAACTATCGGTTCTAAATTTGATAGGATAATTTGCGAGGGACCAAACCCTGGGGGATGTTAATTAATTGACGTCCTTTCCACTCAGCTTGTATGGAAACAGATCATTCTCCGACTACCGTGCGTTCAATTATCGGCTTCGCGAATCAATCATCCACACTTATTCAATTTTAGGAGCAAATTTATCGAAACATTCCCCGTATGTTAAGAACAATTATTCTATGGTTTATGTTATTATGAAATTCGCTACTGACATCGCGAAAAGAAAATTCTACTCATTTTTTGGGAATTTGACTACACTGTTAATTAAAAAATTCACGAATTGAATAATTTCCAAGTGTGAAGGGTTTAGAAGAGAGGTTGGATTACGATTGTGTCTTATTCCAAAGGGTACAGATCGAGACGAGTGGCCTGCGTGCGAAGGAAGGACAGCAAATCAGTGGATGAGAGCCTCTGCGATCCGCATTTGGAGCCAGCCGACACAGAAGGCTGTAATATGGACCCCTGTCCACCTGTGTGGGTGGAGGGCGAGTGGGGCCCTTGCAGCAAACATTGCGGGGAGGGGGGCGAGCAGAGCAGAGAGATCAAATGCGAGCAGGTCATCTCTAGTGGAATTCCCTCGGTGGTCGACGATAGTCAGTGTGTGGAGAAGGTGGGACCGAAAGGGCCCACTACCCAGGAGTGCAACAAGGACCTCCAGTGCCCCCAGTTTCACACGGGGCCTTGGAAACCGGTACAACTTCATTCAAGTCCCTTTCCATCGTTCAAACGTTTACTTTATTTCATTTTACCTGGATATAATTTTGTTTACATTTCTTCACATCATTTTGTAGCTCAATTGTAGATTATGCTAAATACAGCTCCAGGATAGTATCTCGATAAAAATATACATAATATCGTTTAACAGTGCGACCATCTGTGCGGTCCTGGCAAGGAGACAAGAAAAGTGACGTGTTACAAGAAAGTGGACGGGAAGATCGAAGTGCTGGAGGACGAAGCTTGCGAAGGAGAGGTTCCAGAGCGTGAGAAGCCTTGCGAACTGAGGCCTTGCGCCGGCCTCGACTGGGTCACGTCGGATTGGAGTGGTGTAAGTTTGCAATTTGTCATGTCGTGGCACCCAAATACCCATTCGTCCTTTTAAGATACTCACCAACAAAAATGAGGAAGCATTTTGGCAAGCGATATTAAGAGAACGCGTATCGCGACATATCTAAATGAAGAGTGACCCATTTCCTCGACACTGTACGTGTAGTTTCTTAATGATTATCATTCGGCACTCTTTCGGCTGTTGCCAGTGCGACGACAAATGTGGCCTCACTCAGGAGTCGAGGACTGCTCACTGCGCCACTCAAGATGGCACCGTTTATCCAGACGAGAAGTGCGATTCGGAGAAGAAGCCTGAACTGACCAGGGAGTGCGAGGGCACGAAGGACTGCGAGTTCCTCTGGTTTGGGTCTCAATGGAGCGAGGTGAGTGCCTTAATAAAAAAAACTTATATTTACGATTATTACGTTATTCTACATTTTTCTTACTTTACAGAACTCTTAAAATTGTTTTTCATACTTTCGAGAGCATAGAAACTAACAATTTAGAAAAAAATATTATATTCTCATAAAAACTTGAATAGTTTCGCGAGTGTAATTTACTCAAAGACAAAGATCTATTCCCACAACAGTTTCACTCCTACTTCACTTACTCGTTCATCTGAAAACTCAATAAAAGTTTCCCCACGTGAAAACACACAAGCTCCTTAAGCCTGATTAATCTGTCCCGATTTGAATATTTAAATTAACTCATCCTCCCCTCCCTCGCCTTGCGTAAAATATCGCGAGGACTCGACTCGCAGGATTATCGAAAGCAGAAATGAGCGTTTGTACGGTTGTAAATCATACCCAACGCGCGATTACGTTCTGCCCGATAGTGTTCGGCCAAATGTGGGTCCGGCGTGCAGACTCGCAAAGTGTTCTGCGGCACGTTCGAGGACGACACGGTGAAGAAACTGCCGGATGAAAAATGCGACGCTAGCAAGAAATTCAACGACACGAAGAACTGCACCGCCGAAGTGGAGTGCAAAGGTGAATGGTTCGCTGGACCATGGAGCAAGGTAATGTATCCGAGCGAAACCGCTTTCTAACGTCCACCCGTTGCACCCCCCACTGGGGGAAAGTATTCGCGGGGCAATCTATTTTCCTACGGTGTCAATTATGCGCGAATTTTATTGCATGCAAGTATGAGCAAGCCGCAGCGAAATTTATTCATACGTGCCGGAACATTTATTAACGGGTGTCAATAATAATTTCAACGACGACGATAGGACTTTTAACGGAAACCATAATAACTGTCCACCGTCAAAACATTATTTATATATCTATACTATTTTTGTAGCACAATTTACATTGTACCGAATAATTGTATTGTACGTTATATAACTTCCATTTTATTAGCGATTTTCTCCATCAGAATTATTTACAGTTAAATACATAACGTAATATAGATTGAACTATATTTAATCATATCATAAATTATACTATGCGCAATGTAGATGTATAGTATAATAAAAATTGTTCTCGATTCTCGTATGTTCCCGTGTTTTGAAATGATCAAACTATATTATGCACATGCAAATAAATTTCGCTGATACTTGCCCGTTCGCTGTCTTTCGCAACGATGTTCAACAACAAAACGACCATAGTCTCCGATATTTCCTGAATGCGTCCCTCGACTCGAACGTGGCGAGATTATTTGCATCCGCGAGAAATACTCCGTGCGTTCCCCCGGTGGGTCAAGAAATTTAATATCTTCGACGGATTTGCAACGCGCAAGAACCGTCGGCCTCGAATTTCTTCCATTAATCACCTTACCGTGTTGCAGTGTTCGAAACCGTGCGGCGGCGGCACCATGAAACGCAAGGTGATTTGCATGAAGGACAACGTGACGGTGCCTCCGACCAACTGCGACCACAGCATGATCATGTTTGCCTCCGAGGATTGCAACCCAGATTCGTGCGAGGAAGGTACCGGTCCATCGATCTAGCGTCAGCTGTTGCTGAAAATTAATTTGTTTGGCCATTGGAACGTTGATACACGAGCCCATTCTTCGTGTACAAAGACATTCTCGATATTTGTTTACAGTGAAATGGGAAAAATAGGAATCTTATTTAGTATGATAGGGTATACGTTTTTTTTTAGAGTACTTTGAATGTTGACGATGCTATGCAGGAGTCTTAAAGTATCACCTGTTGCTCCAATGCCAAGAATAACATCGTGTGATCTTTTTTGTTATAACAAAGGAATCGAACTTTCCTCATATCACCTATCACTGCATTTTAGACCAGATGATTCCAGTCGAGCCTGAGAAGATCAAGGACCTCGCCGAGGAGGACGACGATGAATGCGAGGTCTACGAAGACGAAGATGAGGACGAGGACTTCGTATCCGTCTCATCCAGCCTCGCACCCGGCGTAAGTGAAACTGGGTCATAGTTAATCAAATATCTTGGAACCGTCTTGTCTCGTAACTCCTCGCCTCGGCGCTACATTTCGCGCTATTTTCATGTAAATGGAGTCGGCTCTTGCCGTTACCAAAACTTCGATATCTGGTTTCAGTAAACTTGCGAATTCGCTCGTCGTCGGAAACGCGAAAATATAGTTGCTCGCTCCAAAGTCAGTCGTTTCGTCTTCTTTCGCTGTTTATTCGAGTTTTCATAAATTCTGCTTCTTCTGTTTTGCATAATCGTAGAGTTCAAGTGATAAAGAGGTTGAGTTGATCAAATGCTAGGTGCCGCTGACAGTAACCATAGATAAGTGCAATCTGTCAGCGATTGAACGTAAAGTGGAATCTCCCAATGCATTTGAAAGCAAGAATTACTTCATCTTTACCCGCAATTTTCCATGATTTTGTGTACAGGAGGACAAAACGAGTAAAGCGAATGACTTGACTGAAGCCACTCCCCTAAGTTCGCCAGATTCTGAAATATCCACCGGAGGCAACATGGACGACTTAATGCTCGGCGATGCAGGCTACACCAGGGGCGATATTCCGCCTGGAGAAACCGGAAGTGGCGAGGGAAGTGGCACTGATTACACAGACTTCCTCACGGGTTTCACATCTGAATTCGAGTCCACGTTTGAAGGCAGTGGAACAGAAGAAACGACGGACGATGACTTGACCACAATGTCCGGAGTCACGGAAGCAACTGACACCTCGGAATCAACTGACGAATCGACGAGTGAAGGCAGCACGGTGTCAGGAGGTAAGTTGAGAACTGTTAAAATGAATAATATTTATAGTAATAATATTTACGCGACTGCTCCAGAAACGGAAGTGACAGAGTCTGGAGCTACAGATGCAACAACAAGCGACGTGACTTCCGAGAGTGAGGCCAGTGGAGCCTCTGAGGATTCCACGGATGAAACTGGAACAACAGAGCCCACCGAATCTGGCCAAACCACGTCCTCATCCGAGACTGAGAGCACATCATCAGGTAAGTAATAATTTTTCCACCCAATTATAGATCCAATACTCAAGTTCACTTCCATCGCCACAGATGAATCGACCGTTGAGTCGTCCACCGAAGAGGAAGGATCGACAGTGTCAGGAGAAACCACAGAATCAGGTGCCACCGAAGAGACGACAGAGTCGGGACCCACTGAACCTACCGTGACGACTGATGTCTCAGCTACCGAAGGATCCACCGAGTCGGGACCCACGACCGAATCTGGACCCACGACCGAGTCTGGACCCACGACCGAGTCTGGAGCAACGGAAGCCACCGAAAGCACGGAGTCTGGGGCCACAACCGAACCTACCGAGTCTGGTATGACTGAGACTACTGAATCTGGCCAGACCACAGAGTCTGGTGAGACCACTGAATCTGGAATGACAACCGAGTCCGGTGAGACTACCGAGTCTGGAATGACCACAGAGTCTGGTGAAACTACTGAGTCTGGTCAGACTACTGAATCTGGAATGACAACTGAATCTGGTGAGACGACTGAGTCTGGCATGACCACCGAGTCTGGTATGACAACTGAATCTGGAGAGACTACTGAGTCTGGTATGACAACTGAATCTGGTCAGACTACCGAGTCTGGCATGACTACCGAGTCTGGAGAGACCACGGAATCTGGTGCGACGACTGAGTCTGGAGAAACTGACGTGACCGAGGTCACAGAGTCGACTGCCTCTGGATTGACGCCTGCCACTGGAGAGGAGGAGTCTGAAATGACTGAAAAAACTCACAGTGAGTCTCTACGTTGATCAATACTCTTCAAGTTTTCAAAATCAAAGTCGAGAATCCATCAACTATCTCTGAAGCACACGCGTTTTAACATTTTATTATTATTTCAGTATCCGAGTTCTGGACAACCATCGGCCCAGAAACGAAGCGCAAGGGCCGCGTGTGCAAAGTACCCAAGAAGAAGGCCTGCAAGACCAAGCCTTTCGGTTGCTGCTACGACGGCGTCACCGCAGCCCAGGGTCCCTTCGGCCAGGGTTGTCCGACTCCTCAAACCTGTAACGATACCAAGTATGGCTGCTGCCCCGATGGCGTGTCACCAGCCACTGGTCGAAACAACCAAGGATGCCCCGAGTCGCATTGCAGTGAAACCCTATTCGGTTGTTGTCCTGATGGAGTCACAGTCGCTGAGGGCAACGACATGGAGGGATGCAAGAAACCCTGCAACGAAACAGAATTTGGATGTTGCCCAGACAAGGAGACTGCAGCTAGTGGCAAGGACAACTTGGGCTGCTGCAACGTCACCGAACATGGCTGCTGCCCAGATGGAATCAAAGCAGCGCCTGGACCAGATGGAGAGGGTTGTGAGGAGGAAGCTACTTCTGTCACTCCTATCACGGATGAGTATGAGACAACTACAATCCAGGAGGATTGCGCAAACACCACCTATGGATGCTGCCCAGATGGGGTCGCTACCGCTACTGGAACGAACTTCGAAGGGTGTGGAGTTATCAATACAGAGAACTGTACTCTGTCCTACTTTGGATGCTGTCCCGATAGTGATGCACCAGCTCTTGGTCCAAGCAACTATGGCTGCCACATGCCCTGCGAGAACAGCACTTATGGTTGCTGCGAGGACGGCGTCACCCCCGCGCACGGTCATAACAGAGAGGGTTGCTGCTTATCGAGCCCGTACAAATGCTGCCCAGACAACATGCTACCCGCTCGAGGACCAAATTTCTATGGTTGCGGCTGCGAGTACACGAGATTCGGTTGTTGTCCTGACAACTCCACCGCAGCACGTGGTCCTAATAACGAGGGATGCGGCTGCAAGTACACCCCTAACGGCTGCTGTCCCAATCGCTTCACGCCAGCCAATGGACCCAACTACGAAGGGTGTCCTTGCTACACTTATCAGTTTGGATGCTGTCCAGATGGTGTCACCATCGCCAAAGGACCCCATGGACAAGGTAAGGCTATTGCGAATATTTATTTAACTCCCGGATTTTTAAGTAGTATTTTTAATTTTATTAATTTTTGAATGAAACTTACAGAATTAGTGATTAGATTCTCAATCAGAAAAATTGTTGAGCCAATAAAAATTTCCAAAGTCTATCGAGTCGGACCCAACTCTCGCTAATAAATAATCATTCAATTTTGTTTGCAGGCTGTGGTTGCGAAAATACAGAATTCAAGTGCTGCTCCGATGGAAGAACCCCAGCCAAGGGTCCGAACTTCGCTGGGTGCACTTGCGACGCCTCCAAATTCGGATGCTGTCCCGACGGAGTCGAGGAAGCGCAAGGGGAGAACTTCGAGGGATGTCTCACGGTTCCATCGACCCCTGGAGCTGCCTGTGCGCTGGAGAGGGACAGAGGCTCCTGCAGGGATTTCACTGTCAAGTGGTACTTCGATACAGAATACGGTGGCTGCTCCCGATTCTGGTACGGAGGCTGCGAGGGTAACGATAATCGATTCAAGACCCAGGAAGAATGCAAAGAGGTGTGCGTCCAGCCGAAGGGAAAAGGTAAGTCCACCGTGAATCTCTTTAATTAACACTCGACGACGAAACTTTTACTTTGAATCAGTTAATTTTTCATCGCCTCGGCGTTCGTTTGATGGAAACTTAACAGCTTGTTAAATTCAGAAGTAAATTTCAAGTTGATACCTAGTTTCTTAATAGAGACTACCTCTTTAAAATCTCTAATTATAATTCAGATTGAACGTGTTGATTAACATTAAACTGGAATTTTCTGATTTCGTAGATGCTTGCAATCTGCCAAAAATATCTGGTCCTTGCGAAGGCTACTTCCCCACGTGGTACTACGACACTGGCAGAAAGCAGTGTGGCCAATTTGTCTACGGTGGTTGTCTCGGAAATGCGAATAAATTCAAGACTAGAGAGGAGTGCGAAGAGCTTTGCGTTACTCGTAGCGATCTGGGTAAGTTCCAAGTTGCCAGCTTCCTGATCCTTATACAGAATTTCAAGAAAAATATGAAACCTGCAAGAGTAAACTTAGTCCAGGCTACTAACTAAATAATTTATCCAAGATCCTTGCGAGCAACCGAAAGAGCCTGGCCCCTGCGAAGGCAACTTCACCAGGTGGTTCTACAACGCCGACTCTCAAGGTTGCGAACAGTTCAAGTACGGTGGATGCAAAGGCAACGACAACAACTTCGCCACTGAGATTGCCTGCCATCAACAGTGTCTACAACCAGGAGGCAGACGAGGTACGTCTCTTAAACTGGTTCTCTTCCATTACAGGACAGCACGCATCACGCTCGAATTTCTCTTGCCTGAAATCTTCAACCCGTTAGGCATTCGATCGAATGAATTCCAGATTGTTTATTTGTCGAACGAAACGTGAATATGCGTTTATATCAAATTGTTCATATTTTCAAATGGAATTTTGCGAAGTAGTAGAAGCGAAACTAATCAGACGCGTAATTACGCATAATTTAAAGCGTGGTGTCTGTGGAGGGATTAGAATAATGTATATGGGAAGGGTCGATATCGAGGATATTGAATCGGTAGGTTGTGGGATCTGCTTTAATACGGGTACACAAATGAGACTCTGAGACTTCGCCAGACATCTGTCATCGAACCTGAGCCACGAATCAGCCCTCCCCAGTAATGCATACAAATATTTCCAGTAAAACTGCCAGAAGTGTGCTCCCTGAAGAAAGATCAAGGGCCCTGTCCGGGTTCGGTGTTGCGCTGGTATTATGACGCCGAGCGTCAGACGTGTAGCCAATTTGTTTACGGCGGTTGTAAAGGCAACGCCAATAAATTCCGTTCACGTGCTGCCTGCGAGCAGCGGTGCCCCGTAAAAGGTATCAGAGCCAGGAACAAATGAAACAGAATGGCAGAAATACATAGACTGAATTTGACAAAAATTGGCTTCTCTGCTTCGTGGATAACAGCGTCACTCGTAGCAGGCGCGGGTCGTTTCTCGCACGTGGGTGTTGGGGGAATGGGCAACATTTTATTTTAGTTGCATTTAGTTATTCAAAAAGTTTCTGGAATTATCTATTTTTGAATTTATTACATTATGGAATCTAGCGTGTTAGCAATCTATGTATATTGGTGGTAGAGTGGTATACTATTCCTATGACAGTGGTATGGGGAAAGTACCTAGTCGATAATGTTGAGTACTCAGTAGGCAAAATTCGGCAATGCAAAGCTCAAGTTCGGTAAGGCAAATCGCTCTGTTGGTAATGTAAAGCACGGTTCATTTTTTATTGGTTACATACATTTCTGTTCAGATGAGAATTTTGCCCATTCCTGATTGGACGATCGAGAGACGACTCGATGTTGTCGTTGGTGTTGGTTCGTTTGTTATTTGTCGCTGATTGCACGTCTGTAACGAGAAGCAGCTACAATATCATGTAATGTTATTTTCGTGCTACTCTCGCAATCAAGAAGCTCACGTTGCCTTTCACGCACACTCCACACTTGGCCCGCACTTTTGTTCACTCCGCAAATCATGCTGGCGCACTACTTTGCCAATTACTCGAAATTGTGCTCGCGACTTTGTCGTATTTTTCCCGCAGTCGAACTCAATTCTCGTTCGAGTGGGAAATTGTCGACGAGTTCGTCCACTCTCGAACGAGAACAATGGACGAGTAGAGCGAGGAAAGTTCTACCGTTGCTCAGGAACTCTGTAATAAATCGTCAGGTGTAGAATCAATGAAGGAAAACAAATTAGCGCTTTCTAGTTTCGTTTCTGCAGGATGGAAATTCAATAATATATATTTATATTCAAGATGATATTTTTGTAGACTAATTTTTGATTATTCATTGATTCTGGCATTATTATTCGATGAATATTCGTATAGAATTTCTTGACGAAAATTGGACCCCCAGGATAATTAAATTATTAAAGCTTACGTTATTTCAAAAATGTATACAATTTTCAATCATTTTATAAAATTGATTGGAAAAGCATAACGACCACTGATACGAATTCGACGCGAAAATTCATCTCCATAGAAATGGCAATTAACGCTTACACTTTCCAGGAATTCAGGAGATATTCACATATATAAATGTATTCGTCGATAATTTGCGGTTTGGTTATCTTTTCTATGAATCGAGAAGAATAATTCGAGCCGCAAATGGTTAATATTAGATAAGATCTAACTTTGCATGATAATTAATGCGATTAACAGATAGTTGCTTGCTGCCGCGAGCCGAGGGTAACTGTGGGGAGAAGAACTCTCGATGGTACTTTGATCAGTCGGAGAATCGATGCATGCCATTCTATTATACCGGTTGCGGTGGAAATAAAAATAATTTCGAATCTAGGGACGCATGCGAGTCCGATTGCCCGGCTAAAATCGGTAAGACATTATCCTAATCACTGTCAAACCTTCATCGCTGCCATACTTCACTTTGCGTAGCATATTCATTGAAATACGAACGTTTTTTCGATTACAATTCATTCATAGCATCAAATGCACGTAAACGTTTCAACGCAAATATAGTTGAGACTCTTTTCTACGGAAGTAAACATTTTAAATGGTATCTCATTGTACACGATTCGTGCAAAATTATTGTATTGCACGCTGCTTTCACTGTCGGAACGCGTGAAAGCGAAGAATTTTTACCAGTGTCCAGCTGAAATTAAAAGTTGAAAGGGAAAATAGTTGTGTATAAAAATTATGCAAAAAGAAATAAAAATTCAGTAATTAATCAGGAAATTAATGTATAAAGCAGACGCAAATAGATCTTCGACACTGGCAGAATTGTTCGCTTCTCATGAAGATTGCAAACAAGAACCTATCTTAACATAGTCCTCGCTTGGATACAGAGCAAGACGTTTGTCTCTTGCCCGCGCTTTTGGGAGAATGCCACAACTATACCCAACGATGGTACTACGATTCCTACGAACAGCACTGTAGACAGTTCTACTATGGTGGCTGCGGTGGGAACGAGAATAACTTCCAAACCGAGCACGATTGCCTCAACAGGTGTCAGACAACCCTCACCACACCTGCTCCGCCAAGGGAGATCGAATTTAAACTTGGTACGGCATAAATTAAATTGAAAAAATTGCACTTTTGAATTAAAAACTAAATTCCAAATTGTCCACGGCTCACCCCAGACTACTGCTTCCTCCCTGACGAACATGGACCATGCAACGAAGATCAGGTTAAATGGTTCTATCACAGTGGCGAGGGCATTTGCAAACAGTTCAGGTTTGGAGGTTGCCACAGCAATGGGAACAACTTCAACAGCAAGGACGAGTGCGAGTACCGTTGTGGAGATGCTCGAGGTCCGTGATTTCATGTTATTGAGCTTCTATGAATAGAAACATGATACGATGGAGCAATACATCTGGAGGAACATTTTAAATCAGTCAAATCAATTCTTTTTCCATAGACCCCTGCACCCTACCCAAGGTCATTGGTCCCTGCAGTGGCTTCGACAGACAATACTATTACGACTACCGCACAGATACTTGTTACGAATTCGAGTATAGTGGCTGCCAGGGCAACAAAAACCGCTTCCAGGATAAAGACTCCTGCGAGAGGAAGTGCAAGAAGAGGATCGCCCCCACCGAACCCCCTCGAAACGTCAGCGAGGCTGTGCCCCCGCCTGTCGAGCCTGCCTCGAAGAATCCTATCTGTTACACACCTGTGGACCCCGGTACCTGCAATGGCGACATCACTGCTTATTATTACGATTCTCAGAACCAACAGTGCCAAGCTTTCGTTTATGGCGGCTGCGAGGGGAACGCCAACCGATTCCAGACGGAGGAACAGTGCGAACGACTTTGTGGGAAGTTCCATGGTCAAGGTAAGTTCTAGGGATGAATTCCACTCCTTTTGTTGATCCGTAATTAATATTCTTATCAATGAATATTTAATGCATCTTGAGATAATTTTTCTGGTTGTAGATTCTTGTAATCTGTCAGTGGATCCTGGCCCGTGCAGAGGATATTTCCAGAAATTCTTCTACGACCCAGCCACTCGCACGTGTCGCGAGTTCGTATATGGCGGATGCGAGGGCAACGCCAACAGGTTCAGCACGATGGACGAGTGCGAATCGATTTGCATACACCACGAGGAGCCTGTCCCAGCTGGAAACGAGACCAGTCTTTCAAATCTGTGTAAGTATTCCGACATTTTATTCGTCCTATTTCCATTGCCTATTTCATTTTCGAGTAGCATTTAATGTCACTGGCGAGTTACTGATGGGAAATAATTTTTATTTGCAACACATTTCGTAACTCAATTCAGTAGGAAAATATTACGTATGTGGTGATTTTATTTGATATTTGGCGAATTAATGTTGAAATGGTAACGTTCGTTCTCGAGTCTTCAGTAATTTCGATCTCGATGATTTAGCAATCTGTAAAGAACCGGTGGACATTGGGTCCTGCAGTTCCGAAATTACGATCAAACGATTCTACTTCGACGAGGAGTATCAAACATGTCGAGCGTTCATTTACACCGGATGCGGTGGCAATCGTAACAGATTCAAGACCTTCGAATCTTGCATTCACAGTTGCCTTGGGAGTAAGTCGAGGAAACGTGATCGCCATTACTTAAATAATTTTTGCAGATCGCAAATTTCAGCTATGCAGCTTCAAAGATGGTGTACATATTTGCTAAACAGTTGTGGCTCGTATTTTACTTCAATTTTTTAGTCTTATACTTTTAAAACCCATGCTTCCATAAACGCTCCAAACTATCTATGCGTTCCTATATAAAAGTATCCTTCAAAAGAATTTCAGAGAAAGACAATCCTAAGCTTTGTATCAATATTATTTCACACCATTTTATTCTAACGCAAAATCTCTAACTTTTTACATCTCTAAACAAGTCTCCCATTTAATCTTCTAAAAAGAAATATTCTCAGCTACATTTCCAAATTTTTATTTCTCCACCATTTTATTTAAACGCAAATTTTGTATCTTCTCACTGCTATATAAAAGCTGCAAAATTCCACTGAAAGGAAACACATAATATTGCTTTGGACCACAGTTTAATTATTTTTCTTAATTTTTCTTCAATATTTCTCTACTGTTCATTGTATTCTTCAAAGCGGATTAATTATTCCTGCTATTTGAAACGCGAAATAATTTCATCGCAGCTACCAACGAGATCGACGTAGACTCCGGAAAGGATACAAAGGATCCTTGCGCGGAAGCTCGCGAGGAATGCAATACCATTCATTGTCCTTACGGCAAGGAGGCCTTCGTGGATTCTCAGGACTGCGAGCGATGCCGCTGCGTGGATCCCTGCAGAACACAGATTTGTCCTGACGGCACCAGATGCGCGATCACCTTGGTCGCCACTAAGGATGGCACCGAGTACAAGGGCGTCTGCAGATCGAGTAATTATACCATTCATTAAATACCGTCTCAAAAGGACAAATAATTACAATGTTACAAGATTTCCTATGCGTAATGGTCTTCTCCTAAATTCTTTGTCTTAATGAACTCAATGAACTGCTTTGGAAATTCTCATAATTAATTTAAATAACATTCTTCTGTACAAAGCAACGAAACCAGGTCGCTGTCCAAGGGTGTCCAACAGCACCAGGTGCGAACAAGAGTGCGCCACTGACGCGGATTGCTCGGGAGAGACGAAGTGTTGCGACATTGGCTGTGGCACTTCCTGCCTCGAGCCAGCTGCTGAAGACGTTTCTCCGACCACGCTAAGGACATGGGGCACCCCTCCCCCGGCTGGGGCTGAACCAGCCGCCATTCAGCAACCCGAAGAGCCGCAAGTTAGCGCCCAAGAAGGTGGTTATGTCACCATGAAGTGCATAGCAATAGGGAATCCCAGACCAACCATCACTTGGAGAAAGGACACGACTTTGGTGAGATATGGACATTTTCTAGGAAAAAGCTAGGTTCATTTAGTTTTGTTTCAGTTTTCCCATTAATTCTAGACAATCGATTTCACTCGTGAAAGCATTCAGTAATAGAAATCCTTAATTCTGATCTTCTGATTATCTGAGCGCTTGTTCTTCGTAGATTGGCCCTGCAGAGAACAGACGTCGCATATTGCTCGACGGTTCCCTTCAAATTATCAGCCTGTACAGATATGACAGCGGAACTTATGTCTGTACAGCTGATAACGGCTTGGGACCACCAGTGAGAATCGAGTACCAACTGTCAGTCACAGGTATGTAGTTTAACTCCATACTGCATCAAAGTGATGTGTCTTAAAAGGTGACGGGGTTGTGAATTGTTGTGTTTGTCTAATGTTGTTCAACGTGAATGTCTTGTCTTGTAAGCACTAGATAATAATGATAAACATTTAGCGTTGGTGACGGTGTGTTCGTATCTGTGCATGTTCTCTTGCATCCTGTGTAGAACCGCATGAACTGTCCGCTGCCATAATCGGGGAGACCAATACGTACCTGACGGTGACTATGAACTCGCCCATAGCCATCCATTGCTACGCAATGGGCTGGCCAAGGCCATTCGTCACCTGGTGGCGAGGCGATCGCATGCTGCCGTTGGCCTCGGAAATCTATGAGCAGGACACCGATTATACTCTGGTGATACGCAGGGTGACACTGCCTACTCTTGGGGTCTACACTTGCCAAGCCTTCAACGCCATTGGCAAACCAGCGTCCTGGTCGGTGACCTTGCAAGCGATAGGCCCTGTTCACAATGTCAGACCTGAGCACGAACCATTTACGAAATATCTGGTCCTACCTCCTAAAAGACCGACTGTAGAGAAACCTCAGTATCCGTATAGACCTAACAGAACGCAGACTTCAGATAACCAAACCTATGCTCCACTTTACACTTCCAGACAACCTCATATCCCTACTGTATCCCCAATTGCAACCACCACTCAGGAGCCTGGTGGCGCTAGGTTTAGAGGTGAGGGTGCACGAATAATTGCTTTCTTGACGATCCAATTGCAATGGTAATCTTTGTTTTTAATTATTCGTATTCCAAAAGAACATTGCAATTGGACCTAAATCTTCAAATTGCGTCTTCGACTATGAATGTTTTCATCTTGTTTTGCATTGCTGTGCTTCATTAGGTACTTTATATGCATGTTGATTGTATTGTAAAATTAATAGGAAGAATTGTTTACAGTGTCGAATGGACAGGTAGGTGCATGTGATATTGTTTTACATTGCATGCTTGATTTTTCATTTAATTTTTCTTTTTGCTTCCTCTGATTCTACGTGTTGGTAAATTTGATAAAATAGTCATTTTCTCACAGTACCTGTCAGTGTCAACATATCGGTGGGACAGAATCAGTTCCCAGAAGGAAGCGACGTCAGCATTGCTTGCAACGTCGATGGCTATCCCACTCCTCGAGTAGCGTGGTACAAGGATAACGAATTGATTCATCCCATCAATCGAATTCAGATCACTGGTATGTACCACAATCAACGAAATTCTATCTCCTAAACTTATCGAAATATTGACGTGAGTTAAATTCTATTTTCAGACGTGAACAGACTGGTGATCAGCGACGCAAATAAAGAGGATTCTGGTCGATATCGCTGCGAAGCAAGCAACGAGTACTCCTCAGACGCTGCCAACGTGGATATACAAGTTGCCGGTGAGCTATTAACCACTTATTTGTTCCTTCCTGAATTATTCACTAACTATATCAATGGTATCTTGCAACGTAAACAAAAATGATTCAACTTGAAATACATTCTACGGTACACCAGACACAGACAGTACAATCAACCCGGAAATCACACGTCCAATTTCGTTCAAGTACTCCAAAACAAATTCCCAATTTCTAACGAACCAAGTTTTCTTCTTTTCAGGAATCTTCATCCACCCGAACTGCCAGGACAACTCGTTCTTCGCGAAGTGTGACCTGATCGTGAAAGCCAGATACTGCACGCACAAGTATTACGCGAAGTTCTGTTGTAGATCATGTACAGAAGCTGGCCAGTTGCCCTCCAGGGGACCACACCTGAGCAATTCCAAGAGGAGGCGAAGGCACATCCTAAAGGCGCTCGTCTAAAACGCCAAAAAACGATGCTTTGGTATTTCAGGTGTGCCCTGATACGCGTGTCGCGATCAGCCAATCACGATCAGGGGGGGAGAGGGGTTAACATCGTCTTAATCGAGGGTGGACACGAACGAAAACGACGACGGGCGAGAGATGACGTGGGCATCGAGCCCAACATCTCAAGCGCGCCGCATAATCGACGTTAATTCACTGCCAAAGCCTTAGAACGTCTATACATAGGTATCTTAATATATTAAGCAACAGCGAGACGGAGGGACGCTGAGACCCGGGACGCGAGATTTTAACGTCGCTGTCCCTTTCGAACGTCGTCATCCATGTATATACGATCTGACGCTGAATCCTAGTCGATCGAAGCCATATTAGGCGGGTTAATTACTGTTCTTCGGGTGACGGGAACCTCAAAAGGTACTCGGTATATTTTCTTTTGTCCTGTTAGGTCACTTCAGGAGGCTCTGCGTACTATTATTCGAATGGGCTTTTAATTTGTCTGAAAGTTCTGAGTACTATGTTTCGATTATATTTCAATACGAAAAGGCAAAGATTTTTATAAGGTACAAACAGTAGTGTCTTCAGTTATCATAAGTACGCATAGACTCACGAAATGACCTAACCATCAACGTTGACCGTTTTGCTGTCCGTCATCAGCACCTGCGTTCTCCGAACCCCAAATCACAGGACACAAATTTTTAACTGTGACCCGATCCTTCGCCTAATCTTAGCATCCCCATCCAAACTTGTACTCTCATTTCTACTTTCGTAACAGCAATCCACGTGGAGAGTTTCGAACGTTTACATTAGACATTTATGGAAGTTCTGAGAGCGCAGGCGTCGGTGCATAATCAGCGGCCTACTCGACAACGCGACCAATTTTTTCTCGTGGATCGCGATGCGAGCGACTGCGTAGCTTTGCAAAACAGGCCAGATTCTGCACGAATGCTAAGGTAGTAGCTCTCGATCGTTCAGCGATCCTAACCGAGTACATCGCGTCGCGCGATTAAACGGAGAAGAACGAGCGACAGGGAGGAGTAAACTTGTACCTATTTGTATGAAGCATATACGCACGTTACGTTGTACAATATAAATAGTTTGTTACGCAATATGCCATTTATATACTCTATGATACTGTTATCACTTATTCCTTATCGATACTCGGATGTATTGCCATAGCATGTACCGTCGCCAAATAGTTCTCGATCGCGATCAAACGACGTGAATCGCAAAGGTGCAACGTCGCCGCTAATTCTGGCTTTGTTCGCGAAAAATACTCTACTTCGACTATATCGACTTCGGTTGCATCTTTGCACGATTGTTCGCCGGCGCTGCACCGAACGCGTGCAGTTGCGTTCTCGATGCCGTACGATCAGTTCTCGTAGCGCTGATACCGCGTCATATGCGCATATTAACGTGTTGCATTTATATATTTGTTCCTGAACATTTTAATCGTAATGTTAACTACGTACTGTTACTATGTATACTGTATCATCTATCGTGAAACCACGACGCCCAGGGGATGAGGACACAGGTTCAGTCAAAGACCTTCGAGAGACTCGGAACTTATTTTAAATTTAGAAAATTGTAAGCTCTTGGTTTCAATTCTAAGAAGAAAGTTTTTCAGTTTAGGAGTCCGTGAATCTTTAAGCGTTTGCGTCGAATTTATAAATTTGGAAAGTTCATATCAATGCATACTCGAGTGACTTCAATGCATGGTGAACAATGCACCGTTGTCGAACTGTGTATTCGAAGCAGAAAACTCTACATTTAAATTTTATTCCCATTTGTTGTTGAGTATTTAACTATCTATGTTGGTCTGCCTGTTATTTTACAATATCCAAGGTGTTAATTAAAAAAATGGCGGACCTGTGTACCCCAACCTCCAGGCGTCGCAGAAATATCAGTAGCTCGTAGCGTATCAGGATTCCGAAGGGAAAGGTACCAAAAGCATTTAATAATATATCATAAGCGTAAGTTAAACACGAAAGAATCCACGGAACCGTAGGGAAGGACTACTCTTCGTTCATCTTATCGTTTTCAGTCACAGTAAATGACAGTGCCTTATTAGACGCCCTTCGAAAGTGTCGGGGAAAGAGTGCTAAATATAAATTTACATACAGATACTGTTTAGTGTAAATACAAGCGTAGTATAAAACGAACGATCTGATGTTCACGAAAAATCGTAGCGACATTTTGAACTTAAACTATCTCGAGGCTAAACTGACGGATTCCTCCGATTTATCCTCCAACATCCCCTAAAACTCGAATTCCTCCGAAATATAATTTTCCCGCCATTCTTATCCATGTACATTCAAACGCGTCGCACTGTTTTAATCGTAGATAATTTAGAAGCAGTCGAGAACCGAGACAATCGCGGAAAAAATTAAAAAAACGATGATGCATATCAACGAAGAAATTGAAACGTGTAACCTGTTCGTGTTATGATTTCTTCGCTTAGGCTCGGGGGAATCGTGCGGAAAAAGTATACTGAAAGATATTGAGTACTCTTCTCCTCCGTACTCCTCTAGATCTGACCAAATTAGATTATTTACTCGATTGTAACGGATATGTTGTAAAACGTAGCGACACGACTATCTAGTAAATGTATAAATAGTTTACATAGTTTAGATATCCTATTGATCGCATATCAGGCGTAGAGGAACAAGTATCGTCGTTTATCGTTGGACGATGTTGATTTTTAAGGGAACGAATGGTACGCGGTAAAAGAAAACAAAACGAAACATCATTTCAGTAGACTCTCTCTATTCTATAGTAAATAATTTATATTTCTATACCGTGTGATTTAAGTCTGTACAATGCCCTGCATCCACTTACTATTACATTAGAGATGTATATAATTCTCACTATTACGTACTAATTGTTAACGACATATCTTATATCGGGGCACCGAAACCTCCTCGTAGGGACTCCATTGTCCGTAGAAGCGATCGTGACCGTTCGTTCGTTAGTTTTAGTCGTCACCTTCCGGGAATCCGTTGTGTTTGCAAGGAAAGTTCGTTTTAAAACATCGTATAGATAGACTTTTAAAGCAATGGTAATTTAAGCAGCTGTCTAAGTACTGTAAATTCATTTTCTGAGAATATGGAGGCAGGCTCTTGTAACCTTTGATAGTGAGATAGTTGTACATACAACTTTCAATATATAATATGATAAATAGATAGAGTGGTGTAGAGTAGATTACTTTTACACATGTGGAGGCATTGGTTTGAATGATGCACGACTGATTGCTGCGTTATTTTTTAACGTTAAAGAGCAAAGTAGAAAGTTAAAGAGATTTATTGGGAAGAGGAAATTTATCTGTTCCTACTTTTGAGAATTGAAGCTTGAAATTTGAAACTATAGTAAGTAGCGTAGAATGCTTAGCCTAACCTTTAGTTTTCAATCTCAGTTCAGGAAGCACAGGCCTCAATCAATCACAATTAAAATATAATTTAAATTCTATGTGTCACTGCTTTTTTATTCGAATATTTAGAAAATCGTGGATTGTTGCTCGGCATAGGCATAGTAAGTAGGAATTGTGAAATGTTCAGTTTTCTTCGATTCCCGTAGGGTAAGACTCGATAAGAATGTGGAACACACCTCGCGTACAATTGACAACTTTTCCCCTGATGCTTTTCGTAGCCTTTTGTATTTTTGGACGATAGTTCGACACCGCCTCCTCTAGGGTCCCTAGATAAATTCCCAGACGGGTCTTCCAGGAGTAAATGTTCACGATCATCGCTACGGACACCGACAAAGGTTCAAGCGTTTCGCGAGAAAGAGAATTGCCAAAAAAAAAAAAAAAAAGAGAATGGAAAATAAATTAATCACTTATTCGTGTCTCCAGTGTATTATCTATACGTGCATAGTTCATCGCAACAGTGCTAAAGATTTTAGTGAGTGTATTTGTAACTTGTAAGTATCTTAGGTAACGATTAATATAATATAATATATATATATAATTATAAAATAAAGGTAGACATAAAGGAATGTCACTATACAAACAATGTATGGACAATAATAATATATAAGATCCTTAAATATATGGTTGAACGATCAGCATTATTATTCTTTGGTCAGGAAGGTACTACAGATAGCATCCACTATGTTTATTGACTTTTTAATTCTGACGAAACTCGCGAGAGTTAATAATTCGAAGATGAAGAAGACCTAATATGATTTAAACCTAGTAAATTATTCTTCTAACTTTATTTTTATCATATTACACTGAGAAAATATGATTGAATTAATGAATTACATCAATGAATTAATAACGATAGTAACTCATGAATTATTTTCAGTATCCTATTCCAAGAATTAGAGCATTCCATCGTCGTGAAAGGAGTCACGCATGAGGTGACGTTTATGTTGCTCCTCGATGAGTACAGCCCTCTCGATTCTGTCCGTCGCGATACTCTCGATGTTTGCAAAGAGTTCGGTGTGCACAGCGATGCATTTTCGAAAATCTCTGCGATCCAGACGGTACACCTCGCACACCTCGATCGCGATTACGCTCGCCACTCTTCTCTGATCGGGGACCAACAGGGCCACCTCGCCGAAATGGGCGCCATCTTCCAAGTGACAAATCTGTGGATCATATTTGAAGATTTCAGAAATGTTTATAAAGGATAAATCAAAATCAAGCACCTGTCGCACGAATTATAATATATAATTCGTGGTGTACATCCAAAACTTTAAGTCACTGTCAACCGATCCACCTTGATGTGAATCGAAGTTCAATATTCTGGTACAATGATTCCCAGAGATTCGACTTGAAAGCTTACTTAAAAACGACGGATTAATTACCTCCTTTCCAGTGGGCGTCAAAACAGCGACAGTACCAGCAGACAGGAAGAACATGCAGTCACCCTGTGCCCCAGCTTTCACGATCACGTCGTTAGGCAGGTACAGCTCGAACTTCAGATTCTTCACAATCATTCGCAGAATGTGCTTTGGTAGGTTCTTAAAAATGGCCACGTTTTCGACCAAACGATGACTCGACTGGAGCGCGATTTCCTGACGCAGTGCCTCTACAACACCATGAAATTTAAAAAATAAAAATAAAAATAATGTCAAGCTCATGTACAAATGAAAGGATTATGATCTTCTAGTCTCTTTTGTTCGAAACTCCAAGATAAAAGACAAGAATCGATCTGCGTCACCTGATAGGTTCGACAGGAGCCACTTCTCGCGGAAGTAGCTATTCCTGAAACGATATTGGTAATAAGCGAGGAGTCGATTCTTCATGTGCAGTGGCAGTTGCTTCTGCCTCGTGTAAGCTTTCAGTTGGTTCATGATCTCTTGAAATTTTGATGTAGACGCCTTTGTTCCTGCTTTTATCTGAATGATCATCACTGAAACAGGTTGAACACTGATCTCTCTAGTCCTATTTAATTATCCTTATCCCAACTGTTTTATTCCATAACAAATAATTTTTAGAAGAAGGGACTCACCTATGATGAAACACTCGAGTACTCTGCCCATCACCATAAGAGTGCTGCTCAGCAGAAGGTGTCCATCTGTTCTTGGCACGTACAAGCCATAACCACTGGCTGATAGCTTTTCGATTACTATGAAAAGCGAGTGCTGGAACCTAAACGGTATACTGTTGCTATCTAATCCTGTCATCCAACATTCTACGCATTCCTGTAAATAAAGAATATCATTATTAACATCAGTATGGCTCAAAACAGATGATACGTTATTTATCGATCGCTTACCTCTGGCGAGGAATTTTGAAAATGGAGGATCAAGACTGGTATCAAGTAGCACAGACACGAAGACCAGAACATTAGGAAGAAACCCAACATGAGAGTGGTTAACATTTGGTAGTAGAAATGTATTATCTCGAGGTACTGAAATGTTATAAGTTTTATGAAATACTTTGTCGATGGATTGTTAAATTGTTCAGAGCAAACATTTATTCTCAAATTATTACAAAAGGAAAGTATGAAGTATTCTTAGGAGAAGGGAGATTTATTAGGTTTGAAAATGTAGAATTCTCAAGGGAAATTAATTTCCCGCAAAACTGAAGCGACGAGAGTCCAATGAAGATTGATCGACAATTTCAAAATGCGTTTTCACCGTAAATAATTCGAAAATTCTGTAGTTGACATAGATGTAACGTGTCAGCTTCAGAAGAGGCAGAAGATTGATCAGGACGACGACGTAACTCGATTCCTTCCCAGGTTTCCTTCGCCATGGGAGTGTTATGTGGTCCCATGGCAGGGAAGAAAGGATATCCGCTATCAGGAAGGTTCGCAGGTAGTGTCTAACCGAAAATATTAAAATAGACATTTGTTCCAATTGCAGTAAAAAAATGATTTGTGATAATGAAACACGAGATACTTTAAGATCTTTGATAGTTGCATTTCAACGCTTCTGTGCTTCTCATCGTAGTACCCAGTGATACAGTTGCAAACTATGTCCAACCAGCAGAACGTGTAAATAAATAAATTGTATTTGTCCAAACGGACGCGGTCGTGGCACATGACGATGAAGCAGACCATGAAGGGGATCGATATGAAGGAGATCAAGTATATCGCAGCCATGAACAGATCCCAGGAGAATCTAGTAAATTGTTTGAAATATTACAAGAGTTTGTTGAATTTATCAACGTCTATAACTTATCCTGTTCCTCACGTTTGTTTAATAATAAATAACTTTAATAATAAATTTTCTTATAGGTATTCTACTCGTTTTGTATCCTTTCCGCGTTTTTTTATATTTTATTTGCGCTTCAAATCAAATTTAGTGGTAATATTTTATTAAAATCCGAGGTTGGATAAAATATTTGTCCAACCAAACTGCCAGCGACAAATAGATCATAGAACATCCAACAAGCTAGCATAATAGATCCGAACATTCCTTTCATTGTTTTATCTACTCAGTTAGCTAAATATACGTTACGAGGAAACGGTAGCTTACATCATGCGCGTAAATATAGAATTCATGTTCGCGCGGGAATCGAATACCTAAAGAGACTAAAGGGGTGAATGATCCACGAGTATTTGAGAGCAGCGTGCCTCCTGCTCTCAACGGACACGGCAGCCAGGCTGTCTAAGAATATTTTCGATCTTGGCGAGTTTTCACTGATCTTGAACAGATTCGTCAACACTCTATTAAACGTGTGATCCTTTATGCTTATCTTGGAGTCGAGGTGGTGAAAATCTTCCCGATTCTTAGGTAATCCACACACGTGTTCTTTCATGATTCAAATTTCCTTGGTTCTTTAACCTTGATTCAATGATTCGTGGAAACCAAACTTAAAAATTGAAATCGTTACAAGAAACTTGAAGGTATTATAGTTTTGGTAGTATAATAAGAACTCTTCTTGGTACCTTGAAGTATGCTTTTATCTTTCTGTTCTTCGTGTCGTATTCTTTAAATTAAAATTACGAATGTCCAACATGTTTTGAAATTATGCGTGAAGTTAGCAAATTCGTGATCGATTAGATTGATTAGACAGGGTGGAAATAAATGTAGAGCAGAAAATAGTGAACTGTCGTTTATTAAAAAACTCTCGACGATAAAAAATATACCCAATCGCGTCCCATCGTTGCAATTCAATGATCGTGTATCAACTAGGGTACAAGTATACAAACGGGTGCGTTCTATTACTTGTATTTACAGTGCATACCGTGACAATTGGCTCGTTGACATTTTTTTCGGAGGATAAACGTGGACCATTTGTGCGTGTGTCGCGTGATTGACAAATTAGTTAACTTCGATTGAGACAAATAAATGTCGATATTGAGCTAAAATTTTGAACGAAACGAAATAGGTCTGCTAACCCTCTAACTTGTTCTCAGTCAGTATGATTCAAAGATTATCGCACTGTGCAGAAGCGCGTTAAAGTGATCGAAGTATTAAAACATCATGCTTTACCTAAATTTGAAATTTTTTGGATTTTCTTTAAGCTCGGAATAATTAAAGACAAGAGCGTGAATTTTTTCGTAAATGTTTAGATCTTTAAATTGAAATAATTTCTACAAATTGTAGATTCTGTGATCCTCTGTTGAAAGATTCAAAATTGAATTCGTTGGAGGGTTGATAAGCGCTAGAGAATGGTTTGCGTTAAAAAAATGACTACCCCAGTTAATTTATCATCAACTATCAGTCTTCCCGGATATTCTTGTTTGTTGTTCGATATTTATCCTCTAATTGGTTAAAAAAATACGACCTTCTAATGTTTGTTCTCCGTTGTTTGCTTACCATAAAAATTGGTGTCGTCTGAGCAGCGTTCTTTTGCTACAAAATGGCGCTAATCCCTAGGATCGACGTCCCTAATCGATCGACGATTACACAAATATTTTTCACGGCGTTACGATGACTTTCGTGTTACGTCTACTGATACAAACATCGAATTGTATATGTTTAACAATCACTCTATCGAGGCCAGGCTATTGTTGTATGTATATTCCATATATACGTATAAATAATTAGTGCGAGACCCTCTGAATCTCGTACCAATTCGATCTTCACGGGATTGCTTCGTTCTTCACAGAAATTAGATCGAAAATTCTATTGTTATTTTGCTTTAAAATTTGTTGTTAACTAATACATTGTGATGTATGTAATGTTCAATGTTTAGTTGAATATTCGTAGCTTGAATGTGCAGCCAAGCTCAATTTTTGTTTTTGATGACAGAAACTGAATTAAACAATGAATAAATGAAATGTATTTTGTAAGCATTTATAAATTTTATCCAAGATAAAATTAGAAATATTCTGATTCGATATAATGATTTAAAGAAAGATAGAAAGTAGTATAAGAAATATATTTTATTAATAGTTTGCACATCTATCGTCCATTTATATAAATCATAAATACACAGTGTCCAACAAGTTCGATAAGACAATCACAATTGAAAAAAAAAAGACAGTAAAATTCATAGATGAGCGAATAAATATCGCGAACAATCACATTGTTAATTTCCAAATTAAAAGAACAAACAACAGAAGAAACAAATATTATTTCAAGTAGCTCTATCGTATTTTTACTTGAAATCAATTTTGAACAATGTTTTGAATCTTTTAACGTACTTGCAACAAAATAATCCTGTAAATCACGAATGCAATCCCAGTTTTTGAACAAATTCGACTACGGTCTGCGGTACAACAATTATCCTAGAACTTTGTCAACGCTAGACTCGTAACGCAGCAGCACTCCAAATTCACCTAAGCGCGTCGAAACAGCCGGTACTTGGAACGATATGAAATGTACGAAATCGTTACAAAATCGCCTACAAACTCGCTCTATGAAATATTCTCTCGGCATCTGGTTCTACGCATATTAGTTCTTATATTACAACGTGGATTAAGTAACTTGTGCTTCAACGGCGACCCTAAAATCGCCCCCATCGTAACCAGAGATAATCAGAATTTTAATCTAGATAAAATGTTTCGAATAACGAGTAAAACATTAACTACTTTTGCTCTGTTACATGTTCGATAAAAAATCAAATTTAGTTAAGATGTAGAACAGCCTTGTTAGTTGAGCCTTGCCTTTAACCTTATTTAATAGAGTGCCTGTATATATGTTTTATCTCTATTTATTAAATAAAGATAAAAATAAAATTGTATCATATTGAACTGAATACCTGTCAGGTCGGATATATTTTCAGAATAAAATATTGATCACCTCTGGTTGATAAGGAGCTCGAGTTTCTTTCAAAATACGTCTTCGAAAATCAACGAACGTGCGCGAACGTGTCCTTGAGCGCTTCAAGGTAAATCCTAAGAACACAGTTACGGATACCAGTCCCGCGAATTACTCCGCAAAAATCTGTACGAGTCATTGTGAACTCCTTTTGTTTTTACTTGCTTCCTCGGGGGCAGTATTACGAGGAGATAGAAAGATCAGTCCTGGAAAGAGTTGTATCTCAAGTTTGAAACTTTAACGGACAATTCTACATGCAAAAATAAAACGAAAATAAAGAATGATAAATTTACGTTTGAGGCTTCATCACTCTTCACTTTCGTCTTTTTTTAGTATACAGAATCACCCCTCAAAATTCTAGACAGAATTCTATTTCTTTTAATCCTGAACTGATCTACCATTCTACCTACTGTAGACCCTTAGCGCTTCCGTTTCGAGCCGATTTTACACGTCGATGCCGAGCAGCTCCCTGCTGTCGGCCCTCGACAGTCGACGACGTAAACTGCGACGACGAAACTCCTTCCATCAGACGGATGCGCGTTTCACGCGAAGGCTGGCGGAGGTCGGTGGCCTGTAGCCTTGGTATCCTTGGTCCAGTAATTCGGAATTAGCTGGTCTCAGGCACGTGCACGAGCACACGCTCACGCAGTCGTCCGTGTCGTGGACTATGGGTATGTGACCCGCCAATAGCTTTCCATTAACGGCGACCACCTCCCCATCCAAGGTCAAAACATGATGAGAAGCTGGCTGAAGCTCGTTGTCCTCGCGACGAGCGTCCCCTGTGTTCCTGTTTATAGACAATACTGAATTAGCGAGACTTATCGCTAATTAGGGTTTGTCGATGAAAATTAGACCAAACACGGACAATTAAAGATAGTGCGAATGCAATTGTACACCGATACATGGCCGTCACCGCTTTGAAGTTCAGTGATCGAGCACATGCACGAATATGTAATCCTTATCCGTTGTATGCAGATATGCATTATCATATAAAGTATTACGGACTCGTGGGGATAGAGGCTGGTGTTAGAATCACATTTTCGATATGACCTACATTTAGGTGTATATCATAAGGTGTATACATAACGTTGAATCGAGAGAACGTGTACTTACATTGTCATGAAACGAAGCACAAGCAAGTTTATGCTGGCAGCAACGACGGCCAGGCCGAATAGAATGAAGACTAAACTTAAGGCCACGTATCCTGGTTTATTGGAAAGAGCATGATCATTCTGCAACATTATAATATAATATAGAAAGTAGTTTAAAATGAAGTTGAGACTGAAAAGAACAAATTAACAAGGAATTTCTATCGAATGATTACTCCATGGATCTAAGCTTACCTGAAGAGCGACGTAATCGCCAAAACCTATGGTGGTGAGCGTTACAAAGCAGTAATAGAAGCTATCGAAGTAGCTCCAGCCCTCGTAACGCGAAAACACGGCAGCTCCAGTTGTGATGATTATGCTCGAAAGCATACCCGTCGCAAGCATGAGATTCATCTCTGTCGCCTCCGTTTTGTTGCATCTCATATACGTTTTGGCACGCTTGATGACGACTGATGCAAACTTGTTCAAACGTTCACCGATGCTCTGGAACATCACCAGACCCAAGGGGATGCCCACCATGGCGTACGCCATGCAAAACGCTTTGCCACCTATGGTGACTGGCGTCGAGTGTCCATAGCCTCGAATGATAGTGGAAAGTAGTATGAAATTGTTTGAACAATTATATAGCATTGGTTGTGTTTCGTTCTTTGACACCCCAATTTAAACGTGTATTAGGCATTCTTGGATCGATTAAGGTCAAGAATAAAATTAAACTCTGATAAACTCAATTTTTATGAGCTACAAAAGCCAACGCGTTTTCCATTTATAGCAGCCCTTTTACATGGCAACGCTATCATCAGCTTTAAATTCCAAGGTCATGCACCTATATCGATTCAGCGCGGTATATTTAAATTTCGCAACAAATACTATTTCTTACTTTTTAATATACATGTATTTGCCTGCATGATATTAATCGTAACAATTTCTCTCTTCTTCTGAATGACGCTTTAAATTAATAATACAATGGGAATTAAAGTATGCAGCTTACCTATCATAGCAAGTACAAGCGTCGCGAAATAGAAGGCACCCGCGAATTTCCATTGTGGACCCGCCTTGTGTGGTTTGTTCTCTATTATGACGATCTCCAGCATTCTGTAATCCTCCTGCGTGATGTTGTACTTCTTCATCATGCTCCGACGAACCTCTGAAACACCGTACACGTAAACAATACCTCACCTAAAATTCAGACACCCCTCAATCAATTATACTTCATTTTCCAAACACCAGAAAAATGAAGGGTACCCTGTTTTTAAAGAAAGAGGTTTTAGTACTTTGTTATTGCAAGCTCAAGCCTCTTTCGAGAAACCCTTTATAAACAGAGTTCCTCTTCATCCCTTCTCCCATCAACTCAAAACAAAATTGCTTCACCGACGAAAACATCCCCCATAAATTTTAGTTCATCTGACATTTCAAATTTTAACTCTCCTCGGACGAACAACAAATGAAAACTTGCTCCACATCCACCCACTACTCGAAACACATTCCCAAGTACAAAACATCGCCCATACCCAATCCACAGAGGTAATTAAACTCACCCGAGAGGAACTCCCAACGCTTCCTCTCTGTGTTCGACTCGAGCGCGTCGAACACCGCAGCCCCGATCAACAAATACGTGAACGTGCACACCACCAGGGACAGGGTCCTGACATTCTGCCTCTTCATCTTCTCGGTTTGACGTTCCGGGGGAGCGTCGCCACGTCGAGACCCGTGGAACTCGTTGCAAACAGTCGGCTCGGCGTTCCTACGCGTTTGGGGTCGTGGTCTAATCCGCCTTCGCCTCACTCATGCCTCTGGCAGACGAAACAGGGCCGAAAATACGGCGACATTTTCCTCGACGGACACGACGCTATCGTTCCCCTCGCGACATGTTCGCAGGAACGTCCGTGGTAAACGTCGAGACGCGTGCACGATCCTCTGAAGGCCAGCACCCACCACGCTTCGACGCTCCTCTCGACGCGACGGGTTCGAGTATTGATCGGCCGCGGTCGCTGGGATAAACTCCATGGAAATGTGGGCTCTGGCAGTAACCAAACCAGCTAGCGGTAACATGGCTTGCTAAATCGATGGTTTATCCTGTGGGGTGAAACGTGACGTGGTCCTGGGAGAAGTGTATAGATGGGAGAACGAAGGAAGTAGAAGTAGATGAGGGACGTACGTGGTCAGACACGAGACTGAGACTTTGTGAGGCTCGGTAAGGGAGTGAAAAGAATTCTTACGTAGGTAGAAAGTTTCTAATGAAACATAGTTATTCGAGTAAAAAAAATCAGGAAGGAATATTTTTTGTAGAGTTGTAGAGTTGAATATTTCAAATTTATTTCGGAACTTGACGAAATATCGAAATGAACTACATCTGTAATGGTGAGAAATAAAAAATATACTTTCTCTAAATCCTTCATTCAATCGTATACGTAATCGTATGATAATTCATTGAGGGCTCTGGATCCTGTAGCAGTGGACGTTCATTCCATCAGTAGTATAGGCCAGTGCCTGGTCAGACATGACCAGAGCAGACTCGTAAATGATTTTATGTTATAAAACGATATAAATAATTGAACGAAGGACCTAAAAAAAGTGAAGATTTATTGATCTTTAACTGATATAAATGTAATTTATTTCAAAACTTCATATTGAAGTATTGAGGTCCAACATAAACCACATCTACACTCATAAGAAGATAAACGATGAACTTCAATAATTTCCAATCCCACTAATAACTTCGTATTCCTTATTCAACAACGTATCATTAAGTTTTTTATTCCCAACAAAGCAAGAAAGACACGCCTCAGTAGTATAGGCCGGTAACTGATCAGACGTTTCACTGGCGTATTCGACCTGATAAAGGGAAGTGTACAGCTAGCGACGAATGGTAACTCAGAGGGTGGTTTACCGACCGTGGTGGTCTTCGAGTACCCTTTGACCCTTCCAGATGTTACTTCCAACAAACTTGCTAGTCGACAGAGTTTCGAATTAACTTCATGCACTGCTGCCCTTAATGGAGTTGCCTTTGTCGTCGTGTTCCCGTTTCGTAGGCAACATACGATGTTCAACTTGCAAGACCGCGACGAGGCTTGTTAAACTTCACTTTATTCGTTGCGTGGGAGGCCCAATTGTGTTTACTTTGGTTATTACCAGACTCTTTGATTCATTTGATTGTATAAATTAGTAAAATCAAGACAAAAATCAAGTAAAAAAGTCGAAGAACGCGATAATTTATGAGACTGTGCTACTAGTCTCTTTTAATTTGTATCGTCCACAAACATACCATTTAAAATTCTGATTTTTAACAAAATATTCAGACGTTCGTCACAGTTTAATAAAACGCGCAACGTCCACGCGTTTCTCACTTTTATGGCAGTTTCAAGTCTGGGCTTGGACGAGGCAAGGACGAGCCGTCCCTTAGGGGGCCTGGAACAGAATGTCCAATTTCGCGATAACTAATCTTTTATACGTCGTTAACCGTCTTTACACGTCACGGAAAACTACGTACCCGAAGAATACGAACACGAGTCACGATATTTTAAGCCCGACTCCACCTTGCGGATACTTCAAAAATCCGTTTTTACACGTCCCTTTATCGGAAAAGTTGAACCAGGACTCCTTTTATACAAGGAACGACGAGGAATTTGCTTGAACGAACAGAAATACGAAGGAAACGATAAAGGTGTCGCAAGCCCGAGGCCACGTAGGTGTTCCCAGGAGCTGGAAAGTTAACGATTCGAAACAATCCCTTTCCATGGCATTGATTTGACAGCGACACCAGTTTCTGACAGATCAAACGAAAATAAAAATACGATTGCTTCTGACATACTTATTAATACCTCGCAGAACAAGGGAAAATTGAATTTTTCTATTACAATTATTCGTTGAGTTTTACAATGGGTATCCGTAATTGTAGTTCAGAATGAGAAGTATCAATTAGAATTCAGTGAAGCAGGGATTAGAGTGGCCCAAGATTTTAATGATGAAAAGTTTGGAGCTGGGCGTGAATGGTAGAATGGAAAACTGACTTGGGATGCAAATATTCAGTCAGAGGTTTAAATTACATTGCGTCGTGCTACTGTTAATATTTCTGCCAGATGAACTTGTTATTTAATTAAGAAATCTCCTTCCCTAAAGTCTGTAGCCTCCCTGGCAAATACTCCTACAGAAATCCTGTTAAATTACTTTTTATTGTCCTAATGCCAATATTTCTTCTAGATAAACGTGCCATTTAACCCAGCAATCCTATCTTTCTATCTATCTTATCTATTCTCATCTATCTCCTTCCTAAAAATCTATATCCCTTCAGTAAATACACCCTCGGAATGTTAAATTACTTTTCATCGTGGCAACGCCAATATTACTTTTAGGTGAACTTGTTGTTTAATCTTCTTTGTTTCGCGAAGGATCTATTCGAGTTCAAACAACTGTTCCCCTTCCCGAAAATCCGTAGCCCCTGATTTAATATCGAAGGCTGCAAGTTGTTGGAGCAGAAGGTTTTTTCCTCCCTGTCTGCAAGACGTTAAGTTACCTTGAGACGTTCTTTCGCTACCTAACTCGAGCCATCGACAAAAACCTAAAGCGTATACCCTAATTGCGCACCTCGAACGGAATTCCATTAAGCCGCGACATTTCATTAAAATCTTTTGAGAACAGAATTAAAAATATTTTACTTCGCACATTTACAAAGTTACAAATTTATAAGTACAACAAGATTTCGTATAAATTTCTAAATATCTCACGCTATTAGACTTGGGTTTACCTTGCTAAAACTAAGGTTTTGATAGGTGCAAGAATCAGACTCGCGACGAAAGAATTGGGTTATACGGGGATTGGTTATGCAGAAAAGCTGAGAGATGGGATTCTATGGAAAAAGTGGAAGTCCATGTAGGGCAGGTCAAGGAAAGGGAATTGCAAGTGAAAAGCCACGAAAAGGGATTGGGAGTATCTGAAGGAAAACAGGCGAGGTTTCAGGGAGTCGAGCGTGGTCTCCTAATTTATGGTTGTCGATGCCGCGGTAGTCTGGCCGTATGGAAACTGTCGAATTTGATGTATCGCTCGACACTCGATCTTTTTCATTTTTACCGCAACGTTATTCGCAGCGAGGAAAAAAATGAAATTCTCTTCGTTCCTATATGAGTTCAATTTTATTCAAAATTTTGAAAAATACTACAAAAAACGCTTAAGTTCTACACTCTGATTTGAGTCTGTAACAGTCAAATCAGAGTCTGTAAGCAAGGTCACGAGCATCCGTACACCTCGAGCTATTAATTCCTCCACGTGGCGCAGCAAAACACGATTCTCTGTTCGAGGACGTTTTCGACTCGAAATTGCGAGGATCTGTTCCTGTGGGAGTTGTCTCGTCGACACCACTCGTAGGAAACAGTGCGTCGCTATCGTTCGACTATCTGCATGCAGATACCTTCCTAGGTAGACGAGCTTATTTGAACGGCCGTGTCGATAACGAGCGCTGACCTATATTGCTAATAACGGACGCCGCGAGGCAAAGCGGGCGAGGAAATTACCGTGGGGTTTCGTCAATCGTTATAGCTGTCACCTTATTTGTCAGGAATATTGCACTCGAAACCATGCGTCAGAATTCGCCTTGAATTGCGATAAGCCTCGAACAATCCGTCCTCTTGGACGCGCTTCACGTCATCTTGCTTTTCGTTGTCCACTCTCGCGTGCCAACGTAGCTTCTTTCTCACCTTTGTTAATTGAAATAAATAACGGGAAACGTAGGGAATTCACCTCGATCAGATTACTAATTGGGATAATTAAAATTCGTCGGGTACGGTAAGGTCTACCGGGGAAATCGATATTCGATTAGTCGATGCGTATGGAAGAAGACTTTTGCTGGATTGTATTTTTAGACTTGACGGATAGGTGTGTATACTGGGTGATCAATGAATGATCAACTGAATTAGTGTTCGGAGTAATTCAGAAATTATAATTTTAGTATTTATGCTTTTTTAATAGTAGCATTACTGCAAATTCTATAACTCCAAATTTGTTATTTTTATATTTTTTATTTGTAAAATGAATTTTCCTATAAAATTCTCTCATAAGAGTTGGTCATTCTAATGAAAGGATTTAAATTGATCTTAAAAATCTTTGAAAAATTGGCTTACGCTGTGATAAATTTTTAGAGTTCTCTGCAGTAGCGACGGAAGTAATTAGGGTGATCTAGTTATATTGTTCACCCGGTACGCTCATATAGGATATAGTTGGCGATGATGCTCAACTAGGTGAAGGCTATTTTACGACATTGTTTACTTTATGTATCGAAACTTTAATAACTCTGATAAGATTTAAAATAGATCGCGATGAATATAATTAAATTTTGTTGAACTTGAAACATAATCGAACTAATTGATTCGATAGACAGATACAAAGAAAAGAAATAATATATATGAAAAGAAATGCGTGCTTAGTAACTGGTGAGAAAATCCATACGTCAAAAATGTTTTTTAACCACTCACAATTACACAAACTACGTAAAACTTCAGCTCGTATTGAATCCAGAAAAAATCAAGGCCACACATGCTAAAAGTGCGACGCATATGTACGTCAGTCTATCAGGAAGTTTGCGCATGAAATTTTCACTCGTCACCGTCCTGCTTTTGAAAAATTTCCACGGCAGCCTCGCTCAAAGCTTCCAGCTTAAACCAATTCTCGAATTTCCAAAACTTGGAAACTTCAAAGAAGTCCAACCTTCTGAGCGAAATGTTTCCAAAATCGTTCCATCCGTTCAAGGATTTATCACCAAGGATCCATTTCAATCATACAAAAAATCCTTCGATTCAAAAACGACAATGTCAAGCACCGAAGGTGGAAAGGAGCTTCAATAAATCGTCAAATAAGAAAAATTTAATTAATTTTCCGTGCAATGGCGGGTACTATAAGGATTTTTAAAGAAAACGTGACAGTCTGTTGCAGCATGAGAAGTTGCGAGGAAATAAATATCGTCTCAAAGGAAACGTGTCCTCGAATCAGGAGCTGACGAACGCCGGAAATAGGAAGAAATTCTTCACATAGAATTCTTTCGAGAAATATACGTTGAACGTTCGATTTACGAATCAATTGCAAAAGAGAGAACGCGTTCCAAGAAAATGAAATGCGACTCCTACTCGTTCGATGAATATTAAACACGCAGTTGAATGTACACGAATTTTCTCGTGTCTCTTATCACGTTCGATGTTTTCAGATAGCCACATTTACAATGTTTAATTCATTAGAATGGCAAAGGGTCACCTAGTCTATTTTTTCCATAAACAAGAATCAATTATCCGTACTTGAGAAAATTTTCACACCTTAACAAAGCATAAATGATTACATATATAACATTCAAAAAGTTATATATTTTAAAAACTTATCAAAGATTAAATAATTGTTAAATGTGAAGTGTGTAGCTTCACAAACAAAGCACACTCCTCAAAGACGATCGATAAGGAACGTTGCTTCTCCAATCAGATGTAATTGCATCGTGCACGAGCAATCTCAAAACAGAAAATACACACAGACTTTATTTACCAAAACAGCGAGCTAATTAAGAAGTAGCCACTTACCAGACTGCGGTCGTCACGTTGTAATTTAGGTGTCGGCTTACGATCCCATTCCATCGCTGGTGCGACGATGGTAAAACGCTGCGAGTCCGCGACACTTACAAAACATTCTCCGCGTAATTAAATGAGAGGGTATAATTGCAATCGTTGGTTAACGACGTTCCTGTGTCGCACTCCTGTCATTACGCTTGCTTTTCCGCCGCCTAACGGTCTTGGAAGCTCGAACAATGCCTGTGCTTTATTACACGACGCGGAAAATAAAGTACAAGGTGACGTTCTTTCCGAGTTCTTCGTTTTTTTACGGGGGCTGCACCCTCGTTTATAATTGAAATTATTCCGGGTAGTAATTGGACTCTGCTCTGATTTCACCTTGTTTTAGTATGTTTGAGACTAAATCTGTTGGGGATATTGCAAGATATATAAAAATAGTGCGATTAGTAGTTAAAGGTAGTCAGTTAAGGGGGTAGTCTTGTCTGGAGCATCAATTTTTAGGGATGCACAATCGCCGATGTACATATTTAATGCATTTTATCGTTTCAGATTATTATAACAATGTTTTTCGAGAAAGTAATATTTTCGAACATGACAAGTTGAGAATAAAATTTAAATAAGTATTCGCGAGATATTTTTCTATATTTTAATATCTATCGATTGGACCAACTAAATATTAATCACTAACAATATTCATAAACACATTTAGAACATTTCGAAAATTACCGTTTGTCCCGCTGTACCGCTGAAATATCACACTGTGAGACGTCTCAAGTATCGAGCGCATGAAATATACGTACCGCTATATTGAATTATTCTCCACGAATCCCGCCCCCTCCACCATCTCTGCTTACACTTTCCAGGCGCAATAAAGCTATCGGTTCGCGCCTGGTTTTCTCCTCGACGACCATTCAGGTAGATTGAAGAGTAATTGAACTTGACTCCCGGCGTCCATGTATCGCGGGTGTCCTTGAATCTTGAGGCGAAGTTCGCGCCACAAGTGTGCGATAAATCAGCGGCTGCTTGATAGGGTGCGACGGTCGTGAATTAACTCGGCACGAGACACGGCCGCCCTTGCATGTTACAGCGGCGTAGCGGCACACGCTCGTGGGTGGATTTTTGTAATTCAAATTGAGTCGGTGGTTCGACGTCGTGCCGCGTACCTGAATAAAAATTCGTTATCGATTTATTTTCGTATTCCGCGGCGCTTCGTGTGGGGGTGTTTGGGAAATTCCTCTGTCAAATAGAGACAATTACCGTGGTGGTTGGGTGTACGAATTTACAATTTTTTCAATCATTTGCTGGGAAAATCTTGCTTTCTGGTCGACAGTGGTAAACAGTAAACATTTTTCATTGCTTGTGATATGGAAACGGGTTCGAGTAGGTCCTCGAGTTTACTTCGATATTTAAACGTGGCAATTTTTATCTTGTTTTCTGTTCCTTTTATCGAAGACTATTAGTAGCATTATTGTATAAACATATGAAATTTACGTGTTCTTTTGTCCTCAAGGACCCTTTAACGACAAAGGTACATCGAATTTCCTTTTACCCACGAATCACCAGAGTGCAATCTCTGTTAACGTTGAAATCTTTAAGAAAACATTACCTCGGGCTCGCCAGACCGAAAACACCGCCGTAATTCGTCCCAAACGTCCCGAGTTCGAACAACGTGAGGCTGTAAGGGGAGCAACGCACAGCCCCGAATCCACTTTCTTTTACATCCGCCATTCCGAATCCGAACGATTCGAGAAGCGGCTACTCGAGACGTAACCCGACGTTCTGAAGGACAGGTTGGTGAAAGTATGCCGTGATCGCGGTCCAAGCAATGTCCCGTGGTAATGTCTCGTTTCACTCTTGGAATCGTAAACCTCGAGACGGTGAGAGGGTGGCTGCAGGTGAGAAACGAGGAACTGAAGGAAGCCTCGATGCGCAAGAATCCCCGTGGGAGGCTTTTTTTTTCTTTCAATGCCCAGGGCACTAAAGGGCGGTCGCGATTCTAACTTTAAGGTCGTCGCTTGCGTCCGGGACGCTCCGGAAAATAGGTCGAGCAGCGAGGAATCCTTCTATAACACGACGTAGCCTGTCGTTTGGACGATTGAACGGAAAACTGAGCGCTGCTCGTTTGCTGAAACAAAGTGCTCGGGATGGGCCGTCATTTTGTTGCTTGGAGCGAATTGTAACTGTAAGCTGCTAGCGTTATTTTATTTATACATAGAAATATCAGTGTCTTATATCATTCTTGTCTAAAATATGTATTTATAAAAGAAAGTGTAGGTATTGTTCGAAAACCCTAAACTAGTCACTCGATAGATCCAAAGAAATTCACGAGGGGCATTCACAGAACTAAAAATTAGAAAATGCGCTCCCCAAGCGCGAGCCATAAACTAGTTATAACAGTTTCTCAAAGGAAGTACCGGAACTAATCGCGAAAGTAGCTAATAACAGAGGCCAGGAAAGGTTGGAAAAGTAACGCATGACTTCCCAATATTGCGAAAAGTTTCCACGAACGGCTAACACCGGCGATAAGCGCGAATTAAAGGACCGGAGGATGCATCGTTCTCCACTGGCTTAAGTTTTATCGAACGTGGCCGACTCTCCGGTGCTGCTCGCAACTGGAAATCCGCGATAATCCTAGAAGCGAGCCATTCACGGAGCCGCGGTTCTCCTCCGTGGTCGGCCGGGCGAAAAGAACACCGAATCCTAGGGGGACGGAGGGGTTGGATACGGGGAGGGTGGTTTCCGCAAAATCAAGGACGACGCTCGAAAGTTTCCTGTCCGCAGAGCGACATCCTCGAGGTAATCGATACAGGGACCGGCCGAAAAAGGCGATCCGTGGTTCGAGAAGTTGCCAACTCCTCGAACAACGATCAAACTGCGATAAATCGATGTCTGCGATGCTTGGTAAAAAGGCGAACCCGGCGAAACTTTCACGACACCTGTTAAGCAGCGTTCGGTGAAAAAGTTCGGTTAGGTACTTGGGTGGTCAGAGGAATTTGTCGATTGTGCGACTCGATGGAGTCGATGTATTTTTATTTTATTCTTTTATATGTGTTGATACGTCTTCACACATGTTTATGTGTATAGTTTATTTGTGTTTATACGTGTTTACATGTGTTTATATCTGTATGCAGATATAACACAGTCTTGTCAATTTAGTAACCAAAGCATGTTGAAATATTTTCAGAAATCCCGAATAAAATTAACGACAACCGTTTCCCAATCGACGAAGTCGTTGAATTGAGCGTCATTGAGGGATTGATAGCCAGCCATTCGCGCGTTCAAAAAGTGTCAACTGTCAATTGCCACGAGGAAAATCGGAAGTTCGTTTTTCCGTCGCCGACCGCGACTCCGCTGTTTTTCCACGAGAATTCCTCCTACCGGGGAGAAAGAAATGCCATTACCGAATAATGGCGCCACCGAAGAGGAAGACGAGAGGCTCGTTGGGGAAGAAACGTTCGCCGCAGCCACGTTATTCCCATCGACAACATCGTAAACGGGCCGAGCTTCCACGTCGACTGCAGACCCGTCAACCTATCGATACGCTGGAATTATTCTACAGGCTGTTGAACGACGGTAAACACAACGAAGGTGCGTTACATTTCGCTGAAACAAAAACTCGGGACTCGCGACGACTAAAATATTTTAAGGGGTTCGGATGGAAAACCGTTTAGCACAGGCAAACGGGTTGTTTTCAATTGGAAAACGAATATAGTTTATTTGAGGCATACACGGCGAATAAAACGCTTGGCAACCTATTCGTGACGTTCCCGTTCTTGTTAGATTTTTAAATGTCTAGTAATTGTGATACTCGTTTCTTAAATTTGTTGAATATTTAAAGAGGAATTTATTTATGTGTATATGATTCAGAGTCATAAAGACACACATTCAAACATATTTGCGTCCCACCCGGCCACGCCAGGGATAAAGTAGCTCATCATCTGCTCCTCACTAGAACTTTTTGTCCAGATAAGATTTTTGCCAGTCCCTGGGACGCAGTAGATGTAGAAGGCAAGCGCAGACATTAGTAGGGTCGCGAAAGCATTGATTTTCCTTTTAACGTCGAACGTTTCTCGCTTCTATCGCAAAGAAGCTAATTGTCGTCGCGAGGGAATTTTAATCTTCGGAGTAGTTAGCCTTTCTTTCACGGCCAAAATGTTTTATGCGCGCATTTAAGAAGGGAGGAGAGGATTGAGTTACCTCGACGAGAGCGTCGCCGAGACACAAAGAAAGCGGGAGGCACTCCTTTCTCCAAGCGTACAATGGGCCAATTGTTAACGGAGAAATTGAATTTATTAACCAATTGGAGCCAAACCTGAGAGAAAATTTCAACAATAGCCGCGGAAATTCATCAGATAATATTCTTCTTGAAAGATGTAATACAATCCTTCTTAGCTGTATCTGATTCCAATTAAAATCCTTCGAATAAGGATTAGACTATTGTTACTAATCATTTAGGCTCTCAGATGGAGGGCTGGAAACGTATTTTTGGGGGACGTCTAAAAAATTAGGTATTGCAAATCAATTCTCTTTTATATTGTGAAATTTAGTCGCTCACAAAATTAAAAATAAGATACATTTCCAACCCTCCCATTTGAGAGATGTATTCCTTAACTTTTCAAAACGAAACACAATACTTTGCAGCTGAAAGTAAATACACTTTGAGTCTCAAATAACACAGTCGCTTTTTATTAGATTCGTCAGCCTCGTACGCTATATCAGATCGTGGAGAGGGTAGAGTTTCCCTGGGCAGAGATCGATTTCGCGGGAAAATGCGGAAGTACGAAAACCACCGAGATACCTCGTACGATACCTCGTCCTATCACGACAGCACGGACTCCATGGAGGAGTCTGAGTACACAAAATCCGGGGCAACGTCCACGGAGAACCTGTCCAGGGTGATGGACGCCACGAATAGCTCGTGGGCCACCGGTTCCGAGAACAGTAGCGTATCGAATACCTCTGTGGAGCCGATCACGCTCGGCAGCTCGATCAATAACACTAGGTCGCTCCTGAAGAAGAAATCCCTCGTGCAGATCATCAACAATTACATCAAGGCTGGCATCGAGGAAGGTACGATGAATGACAATTATCATTTCAGCAATTCTTCGCAGCTCCTGTAAAACATTGATCTAATTACACGATCTGATGCAGGTTTATGCATTCTTAATATTACTCTCTAATTTAAGTATTCATCAATATTTTATGAACATCCTGTTGTAGGCAAACGCCAAGCCAAGAAGTACATCCGCAAGGCGCTATCGTTCGGTATGAAGTCCGGTTACCTAATCCCAGCCGATCCTGACGGTCAAGTGATTCGAGTGTCGCCAACCCTGGTGGAATCGAGAAGGAGCGACCCTGAGTTACGCAGGAAGCGACGAAGGGCCCGCAAGGGTGAAGAAGAACCCCCTTACGTCAATCGCAAGGACCGTCGTCGAGGAACCCCGCTCTTGATCACGAAGAGGAAACCTAGACGAGAGAACTCGTCTGAACCGGTGGTCCCGAAGAAGAGAAGGAAGACCTCCACGACGAAGAAGCAGGGAATAGACTTGAAAGTGACGTATGTGAACCCGAAAACGAAGGCTGCAGCTCGAAAGCGTCGGACGAAGGAACCAACGGAGGTTGAGAACAAGAGAGTCATGAAGAAAAGGTTAGGGTTAAATGATATATTCGATCAAAAACTACATCCTTCGCAAATATTAATTTCTCAATTCCCCCTTACTTTTCATCCCTCCATCCTGACGCTATCCGTATCATCCCCAACTAATTCAGAGAGCCAACCGTGTACTACAAACTCGCCGCGCCAAAGAACAAACGCGAGAACAGAAGGAGCGTGAACAGAACGCCCAGCAAGCACAAAAACGACACCGTGGATGGTAGACGGAGCAACAAAGGTCGTCTAACGAAATCCCCGCACAGAGATAAAAACGGAAGCGACGACCCGAAGAAGAAGCAACCAGAGTTGACCGAGGACGAGGACGAGGACAGTACAAAGTCCAGTGACAATGAACCCAACCACATGGCCGCGACGGAGCGACGAAAGTCGGCGTCCAGTCGGGACGGCATCCGTCAGGATGCCGACGAGACACCAGGATATCCTGCGCGGGAGGTCGAGGAGCAGTTGGCGTCTACCAACAACGACGACAACGACAAGAACGCGAACGGAAACGTTGATTAAACGGCGCGTTTTTCTATCGGGTTTTCTCCTTCCGTTTTGGATGAATGTATATTTTGAGGAAATTAAATTTCCTGTGGAATAAAATGGAGAGAATATACTGGGAATTCTTTGGTGTAGGAATGTATGGAGTTAGGTCTGGCAATTATTTTGTGTATATTGGGGGATAGCTTAATTGTTTAGATTCTTTTTATTTGTTTTAAATTTGAAGGATGGAGGTGAAAGAGTTTTTGGAATCGAATAGTTGCTAATATTCGTTCTTGTGGAACGAAATCTTGTGGATCCTTGGCTAGGATCGTGCGAGTTGGGCGTTATCTATGCCTGAGGAAGAATCGATATCAAAGCCCAGCGAACCATGTAAGTGGATTGTTTGCTTAAATCCATATCGGCAGTTCGATGGATAGGGTGTTGCTGTCAACGGTCCTGTACACAGTGAGCGACGATGGTCTTCCGAATCGTGGCGAACGACCTCGTCGATATATTTACAGGTCACGTGACACCGCGATCGACGCCATCGACGTGGCTGCACGAACCGGAAGCTCGTCGCCATTGATTTCCAAGTCTGGGAAAGGTCAATGGACAGAAAAAGATATCGAGATTCACGTGTCACCCTTTGAATACGACAGAGAAATACAGATGCTTGAGTTGCATCACCTAGAACATTGAATCAATAATCTTTTATATATGACTTGCTTAACATATCCCAGCATAACCCAATTAAAAAAACTCTAGAAAATTTCCAAACGTGTCTTTGTGTAAATTATACAATTCAAGGCAATGAAAGCGAAAGAATACAAGAAGTAAAATCTTGGCACAATGAAGACCGTCACGACCATGATTATTTTTAACAAGAATAAACGCGACGGGGAACATCATTTTCATTTCACCGTATAACCTATTTCCCGTTTCTTCTGGGAACTCGTCCCCCCTCCAACACGTTTGTAAATCCCCAAGAGGATCACTGCAATAGAAAGTTAATACCTGTTCGATACCAGGGTTTCAATTGGTCGTGTTTTCAATCCAATACATTTCTCTTCCAGGTCACTTCACTCGATATGGATTGCATCCACCTTCAGGTAACGAGGTAAACATAAAAACACAAAGGCAACGCCTACTGTACGAGCAACGTCGAAGGCGATGCGAGCAAATGTTCGCTGAAACGAGGATCCGTTGTTTCACGGGGAAAAGAAAGTGAAAAGAGGGAAGACGCTGACGGATCGGCATCGTCTGTCCCGTCCTCCTTCTTTTATCATTGTCCTGGAAAATTCGCAGACCAAATTTCGCGCCACGACCGATCTGAAACCTAGAAAACTTTGGACGATCGTCGTTCGGACCCTAAAAGGATAAAACGGTGGCTGAGAGCGGTTCGAAGGAGTTACGGATCCAACAGTAAGCACAAAATGGCCCCTGTAAAGAGACGTCCTCGTGCGCGGAGCCAACACAAGATGAGTGAGTCATCATCCCGAAAAAGAGTTGAGAAAAACGTGTTTCCCCTTGGACACGATTTTCTGAGAATAACACCGCGATTCATCCCCGTCTTTAATTTCTCAAAACTTTGATCCGATGCATAGAGCATTAAAAAATTACAAAAATAATAGAAATCAATTGATAAACCCACCTTTTTAATCATCGGAGACCTTTTTTGGTAATGACAAAGCTCGAATAGTAGAAAGCTTGCTCAGCCTAATTAAACTTGAACGACGATCGCCCACCGCGATTGAAATGGTCGTTTCAGTTGATTCCCGACGACGGTCAATTTCATTTCTTGGAAATACGTTTAACGTCGCTATACTTGCTGCTACTAGGGTCGTACTTTTTACATAGCAAACGCTCGAGGAACTCATCGATGAAACTATATTGATCGACTTCTCGATTCTCGGCAAATTCAAGGAAATGGTCCATCCGCTGCCGAGAATATACTTTCTCATCTAATTTATCAAGGATGCCGATCTTGTAGCACTTTTATATTATTCCTTGACCTCTTCGCTGGTTTCTGCGAACTCTGATGTCAAGCTTTACTCGTTACTTAGGACGAATGACTCTTACACAGAAGTTTCTTACCTTTTTCCAGGGGAATTTCTACCGACACGTTTTTCTTAAACACTTTAAGGCCACTGATGCATGGTTATACGCGTATTTTGCAAGGTATTTGATGTTAAAGTTATAGGTTGCTTATGCAAATTTAATTAATATTAGTATAAGCTGAACAGACTGAATTAAAAGAAGGATTCAGAAATCGAGGTTACAGTTTCTACGTCACGTGAAGAGGTTATTTTTTATATAATAGTAACAATTATTTCGACCACTTTTTCCTCACATTGACAGTTCGAAAATAAATCTGTACCAACGTTCTATAAATTTGCAAAGTGGAGGAGAGCTCAAAACCACAAATGGAAATTCATCGGGAAGAAGGGACGTTGCAAGGGGTGGTGCCTAGCCGTACCTAGCCCAGACCAGCCGTCGATACAGAATTTATCGCGTTTCAGAGCCGTACCGTCGTAAACCAAACATCCCCGAGCTGGTGTACAAGTTTCTCAGCCTGGGCTGTAGAGAGGGCAAGGAAAGAGCGTCGAATGTCGCCTACACGAAGTGCAGTTTCTGCAAGCGACAGAAACGTCGTAGCGAAGTTCTGGATTCCCTGAATTCCCCAACGACCGGCAGTAATATGGCCAACAAACGACGGGACTCGAAGAAGAATTCCAAGATCCACCATGTCAGGCGTCGCAGAAGCGCCAGGGAACCGACTATGTCGGCCTGCATGCATAGTCGCAGCAGGGGAGAAGGTCTTGAATTAATTATGCCATTGTTGAATTATTATTTCAAGCGTGTGCAATTAGAATGATTTTCACTTGATTTATTTTTATATTGAATTTGATTCTGATTTAGTTCTTTAGTTTCAATGCCAATTTTTAATTCTTCATTCTCAATTTTAGAAGATTGACTCAAGACTATTCTGACTTTACTCGACTTTTCAGGTCTAAGGAAGATGAGAAGGTACATCCAGAAAGCGTTGGACTTCGGCGTGGAGTCTGGTTACTTGATCCCAAAGGACGCAGCATACAGAGTTCTGCGAGTCTCGTCCGATCTCATGAACGATGGCAATTACATGAGCAAAGTGAAACACTCTGCAAGAGGAGTCTCCCAGGATAGGGACAAAACTCCACGTCAAACGCCGATTAGATTCGAGGAGTACGAAGTGCAGGACGCCAGGAGACGAAGAAGTGGACGTAGAAGACGAAGATCGAGGAGTGGATCCAGGAGGCGACGGAGATCCAGGAAACGTGGGAGGAGGCGCAGGAGGTAATAAATTATGATTATTAAGGGAAAGTATAATAATTTCTCCTTTATATAAAATCATCGAACTTCCTTTGGTTCATTTTGATTATTACTAGTTTCTAATACTTATCCGAGGTCATATATTTTTATTTATTATTTAATAAGATGTATTATATCGAAGGCACATTAGCATTTGTATTAATCTGTTTATACAGGGTGGACTCAGTAACCTATCCACCCACAATTTTGTTGATAATGGCCAATGTACCCCAATGTGAAACTCTAGGTCCGACACCGACGAAATAATCGAGAACGACGACAATTACGAGTTCGACAATCAGGATGAAAACAGGCGCAACACTGAACACGCAGTTAGAAAGGATGAAACTGAACGTAAAGCTTCGAACGACGAGAAAACGACTGACAAAAGTGGAGAAGATGGCTCGGATTTATCTGTCGACGAGGAAGAATCCGACGAGGACGAGGGAAAGAAGGGTAACGACGAGACGCAATCATAGTATCGCCATTTCCATGATCCTACAAGATAATTACTGACGCGTACCAATTACTTTCTTGAAGAAAAATTTTAAAAACTGCCACAACGACAAAGTATAAAATATCCTGTAGTAGTAATCATATTAAATTTGCAACTGAAGTACATGTGCGTATTGTCCATCGTGTATGACAGCGTGATTCCAGCAGTACATGTTTCAATAAATATTGATTAAAATAGAAAAATGTGGAATTGTAGAAAGTAACAATATAATATTAGGGGCAATTAGGAATATAGATTCTAATCAAGTGAAGGTGATTGTAAACAGAGTAAGGGGGATGATAAACCTCCTCTAAAAAATTCATGATTCTAGTCTCGAGTGTTTGAAGTTCCATAATTACGCGAATTTTTCCGCGTACTCTATTCACTTGCAAAGTAACTTTCGAAACTGCAAGTTTGCTATAGTACGAAAGAGTCGATCAGAAATTCAGAAGTGGCTGAAATCATGCCGACAGCTGATAGCTATTCCTTCCACGCGCATACTTCTGGCTCGAACGTTTACCAGAGTCTCCTCTTAAATCACATCAACAGTCGAGGTATGAAAAAGGTCAAGATTTATGGCGATAACTTGTAAGTCAAACTTCTCCATATAAGAACGTGTTTGCACAACGATGCGTGGAAGGATGTTTGTGTTGGGAGACACATTTCGATAAAAAACATTATCCAGACATAAAAGAGATTAAAAATTCTTAGGTCATGGATAAAAAATTACCACTGCTACGTGCACGAGAACATTTCTTTATTTTCCCTCGTCTAACTTACAGTCGGACTTTCTTAGAAGGAGCTCCCAACCGTTTCGACCCTTGAAATACACATCGATATTACAAAAAGTGCCTAGGGTTCCCCTTCGTGTGTCCTGCTTAGACAAATAAATCCAACCCTTCGTGTATTTACACCACACCGACGTTCCCCTTTTTTAATCATTACATTGGTCGTATCTTGGCGATAAATGTTCCCTTTCCTCGTCCTACGAATCTCGGGACTAATGTTAACGTTCACAGCCGCCCCCGAGTAGGGTAAACGACCTCTCATGGAATTATTAAGAGCCTTCCCTCGCTGAAGGGATAGGGAAAGCTAGGAATGCCCTCCTTCCCGTAAACCCACTGCCTAAATAGTCCGTCGATAACCACGATAAACGGACATAAGCCTCGGATGTCCTCGCGAAATTGGCCATTCGCCAGACCGTACATTCACGACAGCTGTACTCCTCTTCATCACGCACGTGTCGAACTCACGTTGGACTTCGCAGATCCAGGATGGATTTAGGTGGGATTTCGGCCGTCATCCTCTTCGCCTCCATTAGGGGTCTCGATGATTCGAGGTGTGGAGAGAAACACGAAATGATGAATAAAGTGTTAGAACTTTTAGTGGATTTTATTGAGAACTTTGATTTTGGG